AGTACTATCGTCATCCCTCCGTGAGGTCGAGAGTAGCAACTATTGTCATCATCATAGGCGACTGATATATACTGAAATAAATCAAATCTTAATTTACCGTCGAGGTACAGGTGAACGTGAGTGTGGTGAACGAGATCGGCTACCAGCACCACCGCCGCCGCCACCACCACCACCACCACCACGACGACGATCTCTAGCAACTGGTGATCCACTTCGTTGACGACGATCACGACTAAAATATAGAAATTTAGTTTATTATTAAATTTTAAATAAATTATTACCTTCGTGATCGATCACGTCGACCGGCATCTCCACCGCCACCACCACCACGTCCATAACGTGATTCTTTTTCTCTTGTTCTCATTTCGGATGGTGCTAAAAAAGATGATTTATAATTTTTGAATTTATTTCAAAAAACTAAAAAATCTTACTTTTACGATCACCACGTGCAAATTCAACTTCAAGTTCTCTTCCAAATAATCGATAACGATCAAGAGCATGAAGTGCTTCTTCTACAAATATATTTCTTTATTTTAATCACTAAATATTATAAACAAAAGTTCACTTACCAGCATCACGACTTTCTTCATATTCAACAAAACCATAACCTAATTAACCAAAACAAAAAAACCTCTTAACTTTTTCAATCATTTAAAATTTACCTTTAGCATCTCTTGTATAATAATCTAAAGGAAGTGTTATATCAACAATACGTCCATATCGACCAAAGATTTTCTTTAAATCTTCATAGCTAAATAAATAAATGCTATTTAATAAACGAATAAATCAATAAAAACGAACTGTTTCTTATAGCTGATCGATAACTATGTCTCCGAAAACAACTGAAATGCATACGTCTATTGCTTTGCTGATGCTGTGTGATTTGTCTGAGACAGTGTGATTTAAGATCAATGCTGAATTTGATATTTGAATGGGAATAATAAAGAAAATTCTTTTTGCTTGAGTTTTGCTTGATTATTATTGAATAAAAGAAATGGGTGTGTGTATATGTGATTTTTTTTTTGTTTGATCACGTTTGAAACACACCTTAGCAAAAACAAAAGATGATATGAACGATCGGTAACTAGAGAAAAGCTTTGTCTTCCTTCTTTTTTTTTTCAAATTATGAAAGGGAAAGACTTTTATATTATTTAACATACCGACATTTTTCAGCTACTCCACGAACGTAAAGTGAAGCACTAAGATTGCGTTGATGACGACTCGACATGTTCAAGGTTTTGTTAATATCGATGTGAATGAACAAATATAGTATAGACACACACCAAGAAGAAGAAGTAGAAGAGAAAGAAAGAAAGAGTGGTTTTCTCTTTTGTTTGACCTCTAAATGCATTAATGTTTTATTTCTTATCTATTTTTCTATTGGTTAAATATACAAATCTAGAACATATGCTCTTTGTGTGTATAGTCTGAACTGCCGGTATTTGTCTATGATTTTCATGCTAGTACAACATGTAATTAAGAAAAATATTGAATAGAAATAAAGATGTTCTTGTGACCGAAATTTTAATATATGACATGTGTTACATTTTTTACCTGTTTTTTTCTCTGTTGCAGATTTTTTTGAAATATTTGATCAGTCATTGTCAAAAATGGAAAGTAGGTTAAATGAACTTTGATCGAAATTTCTTTTTCAAATTTACAATATTAATAATTGTCCTATTTTAGCTCCAAAACGAACTCTTACAACAATAACAATTTCCGAATCATCAGCAACATTAAATGAATCTTCGGGTGGTCTTGCATTTGAAGTAAGACTTGCTGAATCACCACGACACAATGGTAATATTCTTCCACCTTCACATTTTCTTTCGCCAAGTGCTAAAGGAAATCAAAGTGACTTAGCAGTACCATTAACACCTGAAAGTATAACAGAAAAACTAAAACGTGCTGAAGAACGTCGTCTTAGTTTGGAACAACTTCGTGCAACATTACTTGCCGCAGAAAACAGTCGACCAATTGAAATAAGTAAAATCAAAGATCAACAAGCTGAAGAATTTAAAAAACAAACTGAAGAAAAATTACAAAAAAAACTTGAATCAGCCAAAGAAAATCGTGAACGTGTATTACAAGCTAAAGTTGAGAAAGCTAAAGCACCTATTGAAAAAGGTCTTGCTGTTGTTCAACAAAATTTAGCTAAACTTGAAGAAGAACGAATATTATTACAAGAGAAAATTAATCAAAAATTAAATACAGCTGAAACAAATCGACAAGAACAATTAGATCGGTTAATGGAAAAACTTAGTGAACATGATAAAAAAATTGAAGCCTGTAAAAATCAAAGTAAAACTGAAATGATGATAAATGAAGAAACTAATTAAAACAAATTTCAACGACAAATCAATCTACTTTTTTTTCTGTATAAAATACGAAATTCTTTTTTCTCTCGGTTCTGATTTCTGTGATTTATTTTCCTCTTGACTAAAAAAAAATGATAATCATTGATATTTTTCTTATCTATATAAACATGTAATTTCTTATATCTAATGTATACATATCTTCTATTTTGTGCAATAAAATATTTTTCTTTTCTTTTGATTCTATAATTGTTCAAGAAACAAAAAAAATTACATAAGTCTTTAACAGATCGATTTAAACAAAAATATAATAAAAAGATTTGAATAGCAATGAGAAACATCTTTTCTAGATTCAAATGACATTTTAGCACATACAAAATTCATGTCAGACTTAATTGGTGAAAATCATAAAGTGTAAGATATTTTTCACTGTATTATTAAAAGTATCTCTTATTCATATTTCAGTTCATCTCTTTCCAAAGATATTGATTCACTATTAGATGAATGTGATACACCATCATCATCTATTGATGATCTTTTATTTGATATTCCAACATTAACATCACTTCCTAGTCTTGATAGTATTCTTAATGAACAAGATCCAGCATTAGATACTATATCTTTATCGTCATCAACACAAAATCAAACTCTTCAACAATATGATGAAAATTCTACACATAATTTATCACATCTTCATTCACCTCAACCATCATCAATATCATTTGATTCTATATTTGATCTACAGAATCAACCACTTGATAATTATATACTTAAAATTCATCATCAACAACAAGATGCAGCAAGTACCGATGAATCATCTGTTGAAATTCCTAAACATAAACAAATTCATCATGGTTCATTATTAAAAATTAATGAATTACATATTATATCAAATCAATTAGCACTTTGTATTGAACGTACAAATTATGGTAATCCAACAACTATTGATATTCTTGTCAATCGTTTAATTGCTATTGGTACAACAAAAAGTGTCATACTTTTATTTGAACAACGTACACAAACATTAAAACATTGTTTAAATAGTGATATATCAAATGGAGCTGTATCAGCATTAAATTTTAATAGTGATGCAACACGTTTATTAGTTGGTTATGCACGTGGACGTATACAAATGTATGATTGTACAAATGGTAAACTTTTACGCAATATAAGTAGTGATATTCATGCACCTGATACAGCAATATTAACTATAAAATTTACTCATGATCCAACAGCAGCTTTATTTAGTGATAGTGGTGGAAGTGTTTATGTTTTACAATTTACACGACATATAAAACGTGATTATCAATCAAAATGTCTTTTTTCTGGTAGTCGTGGTGAAGTATGTACAATTGAACCACTGTTATTCTATCATCAACAAGATTTATTAACAACAAATACAAATGAAAAATTAGAACAACATCCATTAAAATCTATGTATATAGTTGCATTAGCTACATTTACAAAAGTTTTCTTATTAGCATTAAAATCACAAAATAATGTCAAAATTTTACATGTACAACGTTTAGTTGGCAGTAGTACAACATTACCAATACTTAAATGGCAATTTATTATTGTTAAAATTAGTGATGAAATTAATTGTATTAATCCAGTTCTTGCAGCGGCTAGAGATAGACAATGTACATTTTTTCAAGTAATTTTATTTTTCATTATAGACAGAAAAATACAATATTTTATGTTTTCTTCATAGATACAACATGTACGCGATGATGAAATACATATAACTCAATTGAAACAGATTACAGTTGAATATAATATTAAATCATTCTGTTGGTTAAATGCAAGAACTTTTATATTATTCGATATGTCAGAACGTGCACATGTTATGTAAGAGATTACTCTATAAAATTTCGATTAGAATTAATTATTCAGAGCTGAGCAAGATACCCGAAGTATTCGTACTCGAGAAAGTCCGTACTTGCCCAACCCTGGAATTAATAATCTATCATAGTTTTCATTTTTTAATTCCATCCTATTTATAAAATAGGATTCTGTAGTATTAGTAAACATAGATCTATTGTTTTAATATAAATTCTTTTGAAACAAAGTGTATCTTTTTTATTTTCTAATAGTGATCAACGTTCTGAAGAACAATTAGAATGTTTATCTTTATCTTATTGTGAACTTATTTATAATACAATATTTTTTAAATCAGTAGCAACTGGTGGTAATGTTTCATCTGCATTAGCATTAGCTGGTCAAAATGCTTGTTATCAAACATTAATATCAAATCAAGGTTGTATTTTTTTACTTGGTGTTCATACATTATACGAAATTCATTTACGTGATTGGTCTGAACGTATTGATTATTATATTGAAAATGGTAGAAATCAATATGAACAAGCTTTAGAACTTGCCTATTCAATGTTAGTTGGAAAAGCAAAAGGATTAACTGGTATGTTTTATATTTCAATATAATTATATATAAATCTTTTATTTTATACAAAAATAGGTTTACCAATTGATCCAATAAAACGTCGTCAATGTATATCTGATCGAATGGTATCATTACTTCATTCTTATTTAAAATATTCACTTAATTATGAATGTCCACAATCTGGTAAAATTGAATTACTTAAACAACATTATCGAAATGTTTTACCACGTTCAATTGATTATTGTTTATTAATTGATCGTTTAGATTTATTATTTGGTCTTATTTATGATCTTTTTTCAAAAGATTCAATAGCACATGGAATTTATTTACAATGTTTAGAACCATATATATTAACAAATCGTTTTGATACAATATCACCAATTGTTTTAAAAGATTTTATTAATTATTATATTGAAAATAATCATTTAAATCAATTAGAAAATTGTTTAAATCGTCTTGATGTATCATGTCTTGATTTAGATCAAGTTATACAATTAACAAGAAAACATGAACTTTATATGACATTATTACATATATATAGTGAAGCATTTAAAGATTTTACAACGATTTTAAAAGAAATTATTGAAAAACTTGAAGATGATTATAATCAACATAATGGTAAATCTAATGAAATTCACTTATTTGAAAAAACTTGTTTTTTTAGGTACTCATTTCAGTCAAAAAATGACTTTAATCGGTAATCAAGCTCTTGTTTTTATTCAGACAACATTAGTTGGTGATATATATCCATATGGCGGACGTCTTTCATCGGATTTAGCTAATTTTGGACGTAATCAAATTATTGATTTTCTTTCCTATTTACATCCACGTCGTACAGGTGGTTTATTATATACAAATTTACGAGCATTTCTTCATTTCAATACGCGAGATTTCTTTAATTTATTAACTATGGCATTTGATAATGAAGAATTTTTACATGATGTTGATACAGTAAAACGTCGAGCGTTTTGTGATATATTACTTCGTGTTATGGTTGATGATGTACAATTTTCATCTCATCAAATAAGTATTTTATTTAATTTTTTATCAAGACAATTAGCGAAAGTTGGTCAACAACATGTATTTGTTCAAGGAATGTTATTTGAACAAGTAAGATTTAGTTTTTTATTCTGATAATAAGTGTGATTTAAGAGTTATTAATGAGACTTTTGATGATGTATTTTCAATAGGTAAATTATCTTCAAAACCTCGACATCGATTAGGACCTAAATATAATATACATATTTCTTCTTGTTGATTTTTTCGATGATTAGTTGTATCATTGATATGTTCGTATGTCAAAGTACTAAAACGATCGAATGATAATGATGATGATGGATAAAATTCATCTGTATTATCATATTGTTTCTCGTAATAGATTTCATTTGCATTTGATAAATGAATATGTTGATGAGGTTCATTAGAAGAAAATAGATTTGTATTAATATTATCATGAAAATGTTCATTCCATGTATCTTTTTCTATTAAGAAAGTATTGATAAAGAGTATAAAACATGCACCAAGTATGAAAGTGATGTAGGATAACGATATTAGACACAGCTATTATCTCCTATACAAACTTTATTCAGGTGGGTGCCGCCCATCCGCTAGATAAAACACCTACGAGATCTTTTTACTCTTTAAATGACTATATTCAATTCCTCACGAATAAAAGGCTCATCGAACATATTTACTTGTTGATTGATTTTCATTAGAAATTGTATTTAATGTTGATTGTGAAATCATTCGTCCATTATATTCCTTCGTTAATTGTGATTGTTGAGTATTATTTTCTATAATTGAACTAGATTTATTCCAAATATATGAACTTTGTTGAGATGATGTTATTGACTGTGTAGAATAAGCTAATTGAGAAAAAAAGAAAATAAGAATTTTCGTTTCTTTTTTTGTCAAATTAAAACAAACATGAATCAACTGGTTTTAAAAGATCATTTTGACTTTTTTCATCTAAAATTAAATTTGATTTATTCAAAACTGTTTGATTATTATCCAGAATAATTAAATATTGTTCTTGTTTATTATTATTTGGAGTTCCATTCATTTTTAACAAGGGAGTTTTTCCATTCACTGATGAATCAAGAATAATAAACATATTATTTGAATCATCGAACTTTTTTTGAACAATTTCTTCAATATGATTATTCTCTCTTTCATTTTCATTTGTTTCATATTTATCTATTGACGATAAAATATTATTTGCTGTTCGTTGCCAAATAGGAACTAAAAGATTGTTATTTTCAAATGCCATTATAGTCGGAACTGTTTGAATATGATAATATTCAGTTAATTTCGATGCTTGTTTAACGTCGACCTCATATAAATAAATACGATTTTTATTCATTCGTGCCCATTGACGAAGACCAGGTATTGTTCGTTTTGAATAAGGACAATAACAACCATAAAAAAGAACAATCGATATAGGTTTTGCATTTTGTTCGACTAAGATTTGTAAATCATCGAAAGTTTTTACTGAAGAAATATTATCTGTAGAAGAAATTTCATCATCGATAAATAGTGATTCTATTTGATTTTCTACAGGAGATATGATTTGAATTGATTCTTGTTGAATAGGATTTTCAGTTTTTAATAATTGATTTTGATCACTTATTATCGTTTGCGAAATCTGATGATTTTCATCATCATTAATCTTCTTTTCTTTCTATAAAAATAAAAATTTAATCAATAGAAATGAAATTATTCTATAACTTACATTGTTTTTCAAATTTTTCTTTTTTTCAACTTTATTCGCCTTAATTTTTTTTGTTAGATCATTTTTATTATTCTTTCCTTTTGTACAACAACCCATAAAATATATATATATATATGTATATTTAACTTTGAAATAATAATAATCGCATTTCTTCTAATTAGAAGAAACGAATAAAAACTAAACAAAATAATATCTAATACGCGCATTATTATATTCTTTAGGTTCTTGAATATCTTTGTAAATCTGTATTAACATCTTCAAATAATACTGCTGATAGTAAAGATGAACGTGAACAAGCATTACTTGATGTTATACAAGCAGCTGGTTTACAAGCATTTGATCTTAAACGTTTATTAAGTCTTGCTCGACAAGCACAATTTTGGCGTGTTTGTGAAATAATTTATTCGGAAAGCAATGATTATGATCTCATTCTTGAATGTTATTTGAATGATCCACGACGAAAATCAGATGTATTCCGTTATATAAGAACATTATGGCCAGCACTTGATGAACGGGAACGAACAAAAATTCAAAATAAAATGATGGATCATTTTATTACTATAATTGAAACTGATTCATTGAAAGCATTTAAATTGTTTTGCATTTTTTTTCAAATGGATTTAGGAAAAGTTTTAAAATTAATTGGAAAAAATGAAACTGCACAATACAAAATATTAAAGGTAAATTTTTCAGTGGATAACACGAGGGCGTATCGAGCGGAAGGAGGAGGAGAAGGCACGCAACCCCCCCCCCCCCTACTTTTAGTATCCCGGTGTGCCCCTGGGGCAATAATAAGAATAGATCGGAAGTATTTCGGTAAATTTAAATTCTATGAATCACTTTCCGATAAGGTTAAAAAATTAATAGTAGCCGGAAAAGTTTTAGTTTATCATGAAGGTCTTAAATTCATTCTTATTTATTTTAATAGTTTAACAATATTCTTTTCTAGGGTTGTTTTGAATATTGTGATGATTTAAAAAATTCATCTTCACCAAACATTCAGATAGATCCGTCCCATTATTTACATTATATTGAATTACTTGCCCAGAATGATCCATCTCAATTATTATCATTTCTTAAAAATAAATCCGAAAATTATCGTGAACAAGATGTTCTTGATATAATACAAAAATATCAATCGCCATTATTAATACCATCAATTGCATATCTTCTTGAACGTCTTGGTAAATATACTGAAACATTTGATCTTTTATTAAATTCAATGTATGAATGGCAAACAACGGAACAATTATATCAAATGGCATTAGATTGTGTTCATTTTCTTCAACGTACAACAGCTAAATTAAAAAATAAAAAAGAACGTGAAGATTTATGGTTAAAATTTTTGCAAAGAATCTTAGAAATATCATCGAAATCTTTTGATAAGGAACAATCAGGTGCATTACATCGTATATATGGTGAAATATTAAAAAGTATGATTGGTTATGTTACACTGCCATCAATTCTCGAACTTATAATGGGTACAGATGCTGTGGATATAACAAAAGGTATAAGAAGCAGATCCAATACAAATACACGTAGTACATTTGAAATTCGACAATTAATTCAATCAATGTTAGAAAATTGTTCATTTGAATTACGTTTACTTGAAACAACCCGACGTTTATTACAACGTGATTTAAATGATGATATACAACAAATGTGTACAATTATGAATCGTAGTGTACCCATACGTTTCAATCAATGTACATATTGCCAAAAATTACTTCATCAACAACAAGATGTTGATAAAAAACCACAGCAAAAAAATAAACTTGTTATATTTGCTTGTCGACATATTTTTCATTTACATTGTTTAACAGAAATTCAAACCGCACAAACAAATAATAATTTTTGTCCACAATGTACAACAAGTCAAGCATCATCAACAACGACAACAACAGCAACAACAACTACATCAGTAACAACTGTACGACCAGATCCAAGACGATTAATTGCAATGCATAGTGATCAAAATGATAAACAAATAGCTTTAAATAATATCCAACAACAAGTTATTACAGCTATACTTGAAAGAAAACGTTTAAATACTCATCATTTAAATGTCGACGATAATGACGAGATAATGGAAACATCTATCAAAGAACCATTATCATCATCATCAATTCCATTACAACTATCAGACAAATGGCGAGAGTATCTTTCGTCCACAGAATGATTAGGAGACACGTGTACTAGTCAATGTTTCTTGGTCGTGTAATGATTTTTTTTATTGAATTAGAGAAATAATATTCATTTCCGTTCTTTTGTTCATTTCTTAAATTAACTTAATTTTTTTATATCATGCATTTAATTCTTTATTTTTTTTTCATAAATAGTCTTTCACTATAATTCGTATAACTTATTAAATATATATTTATTTGATTTGTAAATTTCTCTGATTTTCTATTGATAATTTATTCAAATAAATTTTTCATTCTGTTGTAATTTATTTTGCTCTGATTTCAAACATACATACAGAAGAAAAAATAAACAAAGAAACAAAAACACAATATACAAACAAAATATTGGAAGACAAAAAAGAAAACGAACAAAACATTGTTTTTCTTCTTCTTTCCGACATATATATATATATAAACGAAACAAAAACAAGTGATCGTTTAAGAAAATAGAGACTATAACATAAACGGAATGTGAACAAAATAATACCATTAAAAAATGGGTAAATGCACATGGTCAAACTTTGGCAAAAAGGAGGGAAAATTAAAGATTATATTTATAGTCCAAGACGTGCAAAAGCCATTTGTTTTCGAAGTTCGATTATTTTATTATAACGACTTCGTGCTAAGAAAAAAGTAACAATTAAATCAATTTAATTGGTTTATTTTTTTTCTTACTATCACTTTTAACGAGTCCCGATTGCACATGACGAATATAAGTAAAAAAATCACAAACAGCTGCAATCTATTTTAAATGAAAAAACAAGGATTATATTACAAGAGGAGAAAAGATTCATTTTACTTACTCGATTTCGAGATAAACGTGATATTGGATACCATTCACCGTTTTCACTTAATCGAACACGATAATCACATTGACATAGATCACCCGTCAATGAACAAACTCTATCAATAATTTCATAAATAAAAATATATATTTTCATTCAAGAAATAAATAATCAAATTCTACTTTAAATTTTCATCAATTGTTCTCATATGACATGCTTCCATTGTTACATCATTTTGTTCAATAGCTGTAAGAACTCTTGATGAAAGCTAAACAAAAACAAATCAGATAATTAATTAATATTATAAGTGTTATTCTTCTTACATCAGCATTAGGAAATGTTAAACATGGCAATATATCTTCACTATAAACTCGATACATAAATGCAGATAAATCTCTTCCTATTGATGCTTTTTCTTCCCAACGTGCAAATTCTCGTAATAAAACATTATCAACCTAAATATACATTATTATATACAAATCTATTCAAATAAATAAATAAATATAGATAAGAGTTATTAGTTTGCGCTTAATTAAAGCCTCCTTACCATAGGCCAATCATCCTATTTATCATTATGATTAAAAACAAAATTCATAGATATATAAATAAATATATAAAAACTTATCTATAACTTACAACTGTACTATTAGTTTGAGATGTTATATCAATTGATGATAGTGATTGTTGTAAATCTGATGATGAACGTTTATGAAGTTTTTCTCGTACTATTTGTCGAATACTTGATTGTGGTAATTGTTGTTGTTCAGTTGATGATACTATAGATGTTACTGGTAATGAACGATTAGTAATTAATGATGAACGACAATTATTAATTATTTCTTTTAATTCGCTAACACTTTTTTTTAATTGAGTATTTTCAAGAACTAATGCATCGATCTAAAGAAACTATATTGAAAAAGAGAAAAATTAATCAGAATTAAAATTTTACTGTTTGATTTGCAGTTTTAAGTTTTTGTTCAGCATTGGCTTGAGCATGTTTAGCTTGTTCAACCATTGAATGTGCAGACTATAAAATATATTGAAATTTGTTTAGAAGAAAAAAAAAAGGTAACTTACTTCAAACAAGGATGCAGTAAGATCTTCAATTTCTCGATCAGTATTTTCACGCATTTCATAAGCACGTTGAATTTCTACATCTTTAGTTTTCAAATCTTCTTTCACTTTTTGTAATTCATTAAGTAATGTTGCAGCTGACGATGAATGTTCAAGTAATTCTGGCGTTGTAACGACGCTATTATCAATACTAAATGCTCTATAAATATTATTTAAAACAAATTAATTTTTTATTGTTATGTTTTTTTTAATTTAAAATAAATACATACGAATCAACACTATTGGCATCACTGACATCACTACGATGATCAAGGATTGAATCGATTGTTGTATTTGATGACGTTTGTTCCATCATCATCATCTTTAAAAAGTCATTAAGTGTGAATATTAACGCCTCGTTTATGCTTCAATGAGCAGAGCAGACGAAAGAAAAAAGAAATTATATCCCTTATGATGTATAGAAGGTTATTTATACAACTGTACCTCAGATATAAAAAGAAACAAAAAAATTTTTTTTTAAAACAAAAATGGTCGATAATAATTAGAATCTATCTATTCTCTATAACTTTATTATTGATTTTATGAGAAAGAAAAATCAATCATGCATAGTTTCGAATCATAGAATAAATTTACATCATTAAACTAGTGCACGATTGAATTTCCCTTAGGATTCAAATACATATTGATAACAGTAATGAAAAAAAGAATAAGGCGAAGAGATAAAAATGAGTACATATATTAAACGAAAGAAACCTTTGAACTGATTACATAAATATATTCTTTCTTCGACAAAGAAAAATGTAGAAACAATAACTCATGATATTTTAGAAAATGTTTTTGTATATATCAATGATGATTCAACTAATGTTACAAATGTTATTTAGTAAATCATAAAAAAAGAAATAAGATTTGTTTTTATTTATTTCGTGATATCTATTGACGTACCTGGAGGATTATTTCGAGATAAAGAAACAAATGATAATGACGCAGAAGAATTCAGGAAAGACAAAACAATATGGAAAGGAACAGACAAAAAAAACTGAATGAGTCGAGTATAAACATGACAACCTCACTCATTCATCCACTTGCTCACATATCACATTTTTTTTCTCTACCCATTTGCTGTTTGTCTATCTAAAGAACGAAAGAAAATTTAAATGAATCATGATTATTTATTCACCACTCGCGCTTAGAGAACATAGATGGTAGTAGTTCATCAATTTCTTTTTTTTTATCATCATTGAAAATTTATCAAAAGGGTAGTTGTTATATACAGGTAAGCAAGGCCATATTTTCCTCAAGAGAAATTGATTTTTATCAATGTCATATGTCTACCGTTAAATATAAAACTACATTAATATTAGTATGTATAAACATGCTGTAAGTGCAAACTAATTAATACTTCTGTTCGTCAACGAAAAAATAAAATGAATTTTATGTTACATTCTGTTATTGATGTGATAGAATAATTTTTGAAACCTTGACAGTGTATTAAGCTTCTTTAAGCAATAAAAATAAAAGGCGAAATTAAACTTGATGTTTATAAAACATTCTATGGTATATAACGATAACAGGTTTCTTCCATAGTTTATTATTTCTATTGCTTATGATAATAAATACGAATATGAAATAAATCTAATAAAATATATATACATCATATTTGTTCAGTACAAGAAGGTTTCAATTATTCAAATATATTTCAATAATATCTAGGTGTTATTACAGATATTAATTGTTAGAAGGTTATTATTGTCATGGTAACAATCGATTGTTTTAAAATTCAATAATAAATATAAATGGAAAAAAATACTTACATAATTAAAGTATTTAATAAGAAAAGAAAATGTCAGATTTAATATTTTTATTGTAAAAGAAAATTATATGATTGATGATTTTTTGCTTTTAGTTGAATATAGACATATAAATCATTTTAACCTTGTAAAAAGAAAAACTATTTATAAGTACGGTATATTATCGTTTTTAGTGAGAAGAATTATACTTTTTTATTATTGTAACTGTCTTGGATTATATTAAAAGATGATCTTGAATTGAAGTTTTCTTTTACAGATTGTGATGCATGTTACTGCTTACTCTCTTTTACTTTCTAATATTCTATCAATGTTTTCACACTTATGTTGTATGCAATCGTTGCCATTGTCATTTGTTCTTTTTTTTCTTGATTTATGCCTATATTTTATTCAAATTTCTTTCTTTTAAAGAATAATAGAAATATAGTAACGACGAATGTTAATTCACACATTTCTCTTTTATTATTCATCACCATCATCATCTTCTCCTCATTGTGTTTAAGTGACGTTTACAACTCGCATCGTTCGTTTGAATTTAAAAAAAAGAGAATGAGCTAGGTAAAAGAATAAAAGAAAAAGTCAAAAAAGTCTAATTTGCTTGATGTTATTGCACACTGAAAAGTAAACATCTATTGTCCAGACATTTCTCTTTAATCTATTATGATATATAATTTACTTGCCATCTATACACTTTATTATAAGAGAGTAGATAGATGTATAGAAAAAAATACAGTTCTGTAGAGAAAAATTTCAAAAAAAAAAATGAAGATAATAATTTAAATGCATATACAAAAATGTTTTGTTTGCCATTTTATACCTTGCAGCAATCAAAGAAAATGAGAGAAGAAAAGGAGAAGAAAAAGTGGAATCGATTTGTTATTATAATTCTTTTACTGCTTACTTTTTTCGCATTCTCATTTCATTTTTTAAGACTCGAACATTGTCGTTTCATGTTTTCGTTTAGACAAACATATACAACAAAAGAATAGACCAATTATAAACGAAAAGATGATCCCATTTTTGCTATAATAGCAAGAAATAAAGAGAGGAAAAATCTTAACGTCGTTATTCAATTTGTTTTCCTAAGTACATATACATATATATATATCTAATTTAAAATTTATCTATGTCAAAGTTATAAATTTTCGTTAAACTAGAGAATGTAATGTCAACATGCCCAAAGAACAATATACTACAAATTCACCAGACGAATTATTATCAAATACTTCCAAAGATTTACCTAATAATTCTTTACCTGCACGTACAGGACCGTATCGTCCTATATCAGCTAAACGACCACGTGATCCATCTCAGCGTAAAAGTGTTTCATTTAATGATGTTCCTACTATATATGAAGTTCCGTCTCATGATATCATGCGTGGCTCTAATGGTGATGCATATCGTTCATGGACATATACAGATGCAACATTACCTACATCTGCTACGTCGTCATTATCATTGTATTCACCACAAACAATTATACCACCCACTCCAAATAATGTTTCTGCTCAAAAATTACAGGCTAATCGTTTAAGTAGTGCTCTATATTCAACATCATCAACCCTTACGACAGCAAATCGTTTGACTGATTGGGCTTCAAGAACTAGAACAACAAAATCGATACCAACTACAGAAGAAACAACTATAACAAATGAAAATAATGTTTCTTCAAATGCATCTGTAATTGTTGTTCAGACGCCTGATGAAAAAATAAATAAAGATACAACAGTTAAAAATAATAATCAATCAACATATAGTAATCCATATTTGACTTATCCTCAGTCAACATCAACATCAACACCAACAGCAACATCAGCATCTTCTTCATCAATTGCTCCTGAAAATGTTGAAGAGAAAAGATATTCTTTTCGTACACCATTCATACCTGAAACAGAATATTATCGTAGTTTACAATTTACAAACGGAATATTAACTAATTCGACACCAAATTATTCATCAATATTATCTTCGAACAATGGCCAATCAAATTATAATTCCAATGATTCACTAACATTTGCAAATTCTCGTGGATCACGTATTCGTTCAGCTATAACGCCAGGAACAATGACACAATCATCATTACGTACTAGTGATACAATTTCAATTACACCATTTCGTGCAGCATCATCAACATATTCAGCGAATGCTGCAACTCCATCAACAAGAACAATTTTACGTCCATCAACAGTTGCTTTTCAATCTGCACAACCATCAGTACCACCAGCAACTACAACAACACCTATAAACATCATAAATAATCCACCAACAACACCTGCTACAACAGCAACCAACATTATCAATGCTACAAATTCAATAACAAATACAATAAAACCACCTACTGCACAACCACGTTTTGCCTCATCAGCAGCTGCAGCAGCTGCTGCACATTCTCGTTTTATGCTACCTCCAAATCGAGCATTTCCATCATCTACATTAGCTTCATCAGCAATTAAATATTCTTTTGGTCATTCAACAACAGATCCAACAACAACAAATCCTATAGCATCACAAACAGCAGCATCAAAAACGGCTCCAAATGTTTATCCTCGTTCACGTTCAGCAAATGTTTTAAGTATGAGACGTACAGTTGCTTCACCTGTTGTTATGCTCGATGGTCAATCTCATGGAAGAAATACAACAACATCAACTGATCCTAATACTAATTTATATGCAACAAGGCGTAGTCCAAATGTGAGACAAACCTACGGTGCTTATTATATGCATCATGTTCTTTTACCCACAACTACTAATTGAAAAAAATAAAAGAAGATTGTAAATTTGTAATTTTTCTCTTCTTTTTCTTCTTGTTCTTAAGTAAAGAAACAGAGTCTTTCTCTTTTTCTATTGTGTTAATTGATTCTTATAGCCTTAAAACCTCAATCATCATGATAATACAATCACCTTGCTCATTGATATAAATATTTGCACAAGTATCTTCTTCTTCTTTTTTCGTATTTGATGAAAAGGGTATAGATATATATATATATGTGAATGCGTGTGTGTGTGTGTTATATCCGATGAGACTCTATTACGTGCAATAATCATACACAACTAATTTATTTGGTAAGTCCTCTTTCATCTCGAGTATGAGGGTGAGGCAAGCAGGTGACTCTATTAAGCCTCTTCTTTTTCTTTTTGTTCTCGCTCTTTCTCTCTATTTGTTGACTGAAGGCTTGCTATGCCGAGGTCGATCTTTGAACAAACATTGTACGAAATGATAGTGGTAAGAAAGAATTTAACCAACGCTAATTTGAGCCTTGATGAAGGTAAAATAGAAACGGAGTGAGAGAGAGAGAGAGACAAAGTATGTGTGAAAACGAAAGATACGTGTGTATATATATATGAAGAGAAAAAAAAAGACAAGACATAGTTATTTCAATTCTCAATCAATATAGTGTGAGTATAAAGTAGGTGCATTCTATCTTTTTCTCTTTCATTTAACTGTGTGAATAACATAATATTTATCATTGTTTGATCGATAAAATAAGATAGCAATACTGATGTAGTGTATTCCATATGACGATGATTCTCATCGTTATTTTTTCTCTTTCTCACATCGAACAAATTACATATGATTGTTGGCTTAAGATACCATTTTCTTATTTCGCAATCTCGCCATCAATGTTGGCTTAACGATAGGCAACCGTATATGTGTGCGTATGCTATTCGTTTTCTTTTTCTCTTCATTTTCTGATGAGTGTATATAAAAGGAGTGTTTTTTTCTTAAATAACTATCAATATTGAAAATATTCTTGATTTCTTCGAAAAAAAATGAACTTGCGCTTGATGGTGCGAGTTAGGACGGACAATGACAATGAATATGAATTTCTTTGTTCGTCTGGCTCGTATTATTGGTGCAAAGTATAAAACGTCATTGAAATGTTTATTCGGTGTGTGTAGTAGCAACAAGTAAGAAACATTTTTATTTTAAAAAAAAACACAGAACAATTTTCTTCTTATGTTTACATAAAGGGCGTAGGCACGAAAGTAAAAAGCAGAATAATATTGTTGATGTTATTATTTCATTTAGCGTTTTTCATTCAAGAGTAATACATCAAAACGAAACATGGCAATGACCAATTTTCAAACTGTAAAAAAGCCAACGATAAGTTCGTCGTTCTACGATAGTTATACAGAAAAACCAGTAAAATGGTATGATATAGGATTAAGTTATTTTATAATTGAATATTTATTCTTTGAAATTTGTAGGTATGAAATAGTCGATGCTTATCGAACATATACTGAAACATATCTTCCATTACGTTTGGAAACTTGGCCACGTGAAATGTGGGAAGCTTTTAAAAAATTCTTTAAAGTAACTGAACCAGAAGAAGTCGAAGACGATCCGTAAGATAAAATTCTATTGAAATAATTTATTTTAATCTTATTGACTTGTTTTTTTCTTAGTGTTACTGAAGTACAAAGAACTCGCGCTGATGGTAATATAATTAAAACGACTGAATATGATTTAACAAATGATAAATATGATGCACGTATATCAAATGCTGTACGAACACATACAGAAAAAAATAAAATTATTGATAGAACAACATCACGAGCACTTAAAGCAGAAGCTAGTGCTTCACAAAATCCAAACCCAAATCCATATCCGGATCGGTAAATAATTTTGAAAATAATTATTTTTATTAATTAATATTTATTTTATAGTGCTGTTAGTACTGCTCGTCGTCATCGACATTCAAATCAAATAGCACCAAGTCCAGATGATTGTCCTGAATGTGCTGCGTTAGCTGCTCGAAACTATCCTACAATGTGTGATTGTAATGAGTGTCGAGCTAAACGAGCAACATATCCTGGTCGTGTTCCATATTGTGATTGTCGTATATGTCGTAATACAAGAAGATCTTAATATAACTTCTTTTTTTTTGTCTATAATATACATATATCTATTTTTATTTTTGCTTTTCTAAAATAAACAAATGAACAAAATAGTCTGTCAAATTGCTTTGCTTCTTTTATTCTTCAGTAATGAACCATGACATTTATAAAACAAGTTAATGTAATGAAACAAAAATCTACTAATTGTTTTTGATGACAAAAGATTATTTTTTTTTATTATAAAAATAATCATGCCGTAGCTTAGAAAATATCAATTAGCACTATTTTATAACACACGTACACGTTTATGTAATAGACCTTTTAGGTTCAAGAATGTGAGATCCTTTTGAACTTTCAATAAACATTTCATGTGGGAAGATCATACTAAGTACCCCCGTTTGGATTTCGAACGGCAATATTATCACGCACAAAAGTCACAGTACGGATGTCATAATAATAATAATCATAAAAAACTTCTTCAAAACTTCTGATTTATTACATACAATTATTCATTGTCATATGTTGTTCTTTCTGTATTATATTAGAAAATAAATAGTGTCTACAATATTTACATATAGGTTTAAAGTGCCAAGCATTCCCCAAGTTCTCAAACGTTCCTTGGATCAAGGGAAAGGAATATTTAAATGAAGTTTTGTTCAAAAACGATTAGAAGGGTTGTTAAATGTCCTGAAAGTTTCAGCCTGAATGGGTGTTCTTTTCTTGAACCTTCCAAAGTATTTTAAAGATCATTCAACCTTCGTTTGCACTAAATTTCATCTAGATATTTCTTTCTTTTAAATTTTCTGCGCAGTGTAATTTAAAAAAAAAAACATGCGTAAAAAATTATTAATAACATTAGGATAATTCATGCGATTAGTTTCATTTAATCTTGTTTAAAGTTTTATTTCAAACGTATGAAATAATGAAAAGCTTATGTCAATCGCTCGAATAGTTGAAAAGTTATTCATCTTCTCTAGGCACGCCCTGTAATTTACGACAAACTCTTATAATTATTTGTCTGTCTATAAGACCTTGTTATAGTTTTAATATTTAACAAACAATTAAAACAACTGTCAAGTATATAAAAATATTAATATATATTAAAAATTATTATTAATATTTTGTTTAGTTTTGATGGTCTATTGGTTTTCTCTTGAAATTCTATATTGATCTTATATTTAAAATAATTACACTTGAGTTCATATCTTTCTCTTTTCTTTTCTCTTTTGATCTTCTCTCAAATAATAACGCTCTTACCGCTTACAATATTTCAAAGAGAGAATTTATCCATTTCTTTTTCTTATTAAAGTCAGTAGGTCTTTTCTATCGTGATCTTTCGTCATTGAGCAGCTTTTTCTAAGATGACACATAAAGATTAAGTTGAGTAAAAAATGACAGACCACTATAGACGAATAAAAAAAAGAAACGTTTTTTTTCTTCTACCAAGTCATTGCTGATTGACAAATAAGTATGTAGACATCTGGATATATTCCTATTATTTCTTGTATTTTGTCATATGTCTGTATTATTTCATTGAATTCGATTTCTTCGATATTTAACAGAAAATATTCTCAATGAAAATTCTAAAATAAGATAAGATAATCTATCATCGTCTGGATTATCTTTCTCTCTCTTTTCTATTTTTTTTTCCACCTCTTCGTTTAAATTATAAATGTGCAAGATGATGAATTGAGATAACTATGACAGTAAGTTTATTTCTCAAAATAGAAAGTTAGTGAAGTAAATCTTGCAGGACATTTCTTCAGTTCCATAAACACATTCTCGTATTTTATCAGTATGTGCTGCACGAATGCTAAGGTAGGTAGAAAATATATTGTCAGTTAATAAACGGATGTGACATTATAAGTGCTTCAGTACGTTGAATACAAAAAGAAAAATCGAGATAACCGGTTTACGCTCCATAAAGCATAATATGAAGTAGATTGTTGTATTAGTTGAAGACCATTTTTGGCTAAAAATAATTATTAGTTTTACCTTGAAAATAAAACTTGAATGCACTGTGTATGTTCTTTATCATTTCAATTTAAAGAAAATACGTGATTAAATCATAAAAAAACAACAATTATTATCTTATCGAAACTAGACAAGAGTCAAATAAAATTAATAATATACTAGAAAACGTTCATTGTCACGTCTGTTATCTTATTCTACTAGGTGCACATTTTAAGAATAGATCTAAATATTTCTTCAATTTATGAGCATATTTGTTAGATAAAATATTTTCAAAAAATAGAATAGACATATAAATATTGTTAGACTTATCATTAAGAGTTTTTAAAACATTCTTTCATTCTATTCTTCTGCATGACTACATTAATCCTCAATATCTTCTCGAATGACGTGAAAATGTAATTACTTCCTTTTCCTCTTTCAAATTCTCAGGACAATGACGGTAAACATGGACCTAGTATAATATGTTTCACCTGACTTTGCTCGAATTTCTCTTTCTTATTAGAAAGTAATCAGTATTATATCATGATGAATAGTTTTATTTTATCTTTTAATAGATTGAATCAGACATTTTTATGGTATCTTTTAATTGGACAAGTTCTTTATCAATTGATTCAGTATCATCATCAGATATGGAAGGACTTGAACAAGGAGATTGTGTTAAACCTTATCTTACATTCCTTCTAAGAACACAATCAATACTTCTATTAATATTTGGTTTTGCAGCAAATTTATGTTCATTTGTTGTACTTACTCGTCCACGTTTACGGCGTCGACCGACATTTTCATATCTTGCTTTTCTTAGTCTATCAAATGCATTATTATCACTTATTCATGCTACTTTTAATCTTCTTGCAGGATATTTTGATATAGCAGTTGAACATTTACCATTATTTATTTTTTGTCGATTTTTAAATCGATTTGCCATTGATTTTTTAACACATTTCTCATTATATACATTAACAGCTGTTGATCTTGATCGAATACGTACAGTTACATCAAAAACAGCAAATGATCAGCGTTATAGTCGAACAAATAGTGGAAGACAACATGGTTGTGCAAGTGCATTTATTCGTGTATGTCTTGTTGAATCATTCCTTGCAGTTATTAGTTTTCTATTTAATGCACACTGGCTTGTATTATATGGATATGTAGAGAAAGATCCTACTAGTTTAGATGATATAACAGTGTGTGCACCTTTTTTAAATAATACAAGTAATTTTAATATTTATACAGACGCTTATAATAAATATGTATTATCAATATTACCAATAGCAGAAATCGTTTTATTCAATATTTTACCATTTGTAATAAGTGTTCTTGCAACAATAATTATATTACGACATATATCAATAAAATATACACTTTTAAGTCATATAAATAAACGTTTAAAAAAATCTCGTCGTCGAATGGAATTACATTTATCAATATTACTGATATCATTAAATTGTGTATTTATATTATTAACAACTCCACATAATATATATCAAGTTTATATGTTAAAAATACGAGGTATTTTGGGTAGTAAAAATGAAAGTAATGATGATAAATGTCCAGTATTGATTATACAAAAATGTTTAGATTTATTACAACAATGTTATTTCATGTCAACTTTTTTTCTTTATATATTAACAAATAAGCGATTTCGCGAAGAATTTTATGAATTATTAAGAAGAAATCTATTCTTATCATGTGACAGTCATGAAACAAATAATTCATCAACACAAATATCATCACGTCACCGTCGTCATCATCATCGTCATCATCATCATCGTAATGACAAGAATGAAGATAATAAACCAAATTATTTAGCACCGCAATCAAACGCAATAATACCAACTCGATTTTCTATGACAGATTATATATCACAAGATGATTGTTATGATGATGAACAATTATCAACATCAAAAGGTTTAGATACAACAGTGATGCGTCTTAGTGTGAATCCATCATCTTTATATTGACTTACTTTTATTTATAATATATATATACATCTGTAATTATTTTCGTTTTGATGTTGTAATAATATTTGATATAGGAAAAGAATATCGTATTATAAAATAATGTAATTACATTGATATATTATCATTCTATGAATACATTTTTATCGATTTCTTTTTGTAATAAATATTCATAAATTATTGTTGTTTTTTAAATTAATACAAAATATTTATAGGAAAATACACGTGAGATAAAACAAAAAAGAAGAATCAGTGACAAACTCCTAGTTTCTTTTTTTGAAATTAATTATGATTATGAATGAATTCAAGTGTCAGTATTTGGTTTTTTTAATGATATATTTGTATCAAATCGTTGTAATCGATTAATAGCTCGATCTAATGTTGTACCTGGTGTGCGAACAGATCGTAATGATATACTTCGTACTTGTTCATAATGACGTTGAATTTCAGTAACAAGAGATTTTGCACGTCTTTGACTTACTTTATCTTTATTATTATTAAGTATTTGACCAAGTGGTTGATCAATAATTGTTTTTCGATCACGTATTATATCTAATAATTTATTAATTTCTTCAATTTTAGGTTTATTAGGTAATTTAATCGGTGGTAAAGTACGCTCCTATAACAAATAATAAATAATAATAACAACAACAACAACAATTTGAAAACAAAATCTTTTAATTCTAATAAGATTTTACTCGAATTTCTGATATAACTAAGTATGTTATTTAATATAAACAAAATATGATAAGAATTGCAATATAAAACTAATATATTCTAAAGATAATATTCAATTTAAATAACTGAATTTTAAATAATCTTATAAAGTAATAACACGAAACTAAAGAATATAAATGCGTAGGAAGAAATAGTTCATTAAGGTTTATGTAACAACTCGGTACTATCAAGTAAATATCGTTACGTATTGTTTGAAATTTTTCAGCTAGAAAATTAGATTTTATGTTTTCTATTTGACAACTATTTCCGTCGTCTAGATAGGACGACAATTCTACTTATGACTTTCAGACATATTTCCGGCTTAGCCTATAATTTTAGCATATACATGCACAATTCTAAAAATGTCATCTCTTATTCCAATCAAAATTATTCATACAGGAACTATAATGATATATAATATCATTTGAATGTCAATATAAGATTTACTTCAGAATGGAAATGCGAATAAAAATAAAGCTAATTGCTATCATAAAAAAAATACAAAAACAATATGATGATATTTCAGAATATCATGACGTCGTTTCTTTCTTATTAATCATGATACAAAATATTTAAGATCTATCCATTTCAGCCTATATTATAGTTGACCTTTAACTTACCATTCTCTGTGGAACAAATGTACGTTGAACACGATCAACCTGGACTTTGTCATGCCTAATAACTAATGGATTACGTAAAATTTGTTTTAAATCACGCACGCAATGAATAACATCTATAAAATAGTAGAAAGAAATTAATTGATTGATTTTTTTTGGCAACATACTATTTGGTACAGGAATATCCTTTTCATTGTCAATATCAAGAAAGATTTCAAAACCTTTAAATTTTTCATTCGATACAAGTGAAGTTTGTGTTTGTTCTTTTGATTCCGATCGATTCGATTGTTCTATAGTTGTTTCATTTGGATAAATATCTTCATTTTCAAACTAAAAATATATAAAAAAGTATTTCTTCTGAATTCAATTTATTTTCTACAACAAACTTCAGTCATAAAAATATTTTCTGTTTGTTCATTGGAATTTAAATTATCAGTTGATGTATCATTATTATATTTATTTTCAATGTCTATAAAACAAAATAGAATATATATTTAACAAATTTTTCTTTTAAGAATACTACCATTTAAAGTTGAATCATTAGTTTTAAATTTATCCTCATCTGATGAAAAATTCTGTTCACTAATACCAGTTAATGCTCGTTCATTTGTTGTTACATCAGTATCAGTTTTAACATAATCAATATATTGTTTGACAGCACCGGATAATAATTGATCAATAGGAATTTTTGGAACTTTAGCTACACGAGTATTAACCTTGATAAAATATTTGAAATAATTATTATTTTCTTTTTAAAATAAAAGTAAATAGTTTTATTACTTTACGATGTTTTTTAATTGGTTTAGCATAAAATTGTTTTTCAGATTTTAAAGATGGATTAGTTCTATTTAAATACACAAAATAAATTCAAAAATGAATTTTTTTTCAAGTTTTATTTATCTACCGATGAATTTTCATTCCAAGTCTATCAATTAGAAAATTTTCAATTAAAGGTGGAAGTCCAACATGTCGTTGAATAAGTGGATTATCAACAAGAATAATTTCAGTCAAACTTGGCCATGATGCAATAGCCATTACATCATCTTCATCTTCAATCTTTAACATAAGAAAAAAAAAGTTAAGATCTTGTTTTCCTCGGTTATATTACCAAATTTGAACTTAGATCAAGATATTGTAATTCAGGAAATGGTGGTAATGAAATCTCTTGATCTGTGCTAGCAATAGTAGTTTGCTTTTGATCACTTGAAACATTTTCTTCATCCTCTTCGAATATTGTACTCTTTACGATATCATCATTACTAGAAGCAGTTATATCTTGATTAGAATTTCCAGATGAATTAGCTATAGATAATACAATTGAATAGAAGTTATGCAAAAAAGAAGAAAATAGTTTCATACAATTCTCAGTACGTTTTCGTTTCATTGCTGATTTCGAATATTCTTGAACGATTTGACGGCCTTGTAGAACTTTTAAAAATGGAATTGTATGAATATGATTATTTTGTAAATGAAGACGTTTGAGCTTTTTTAAAGATGATAGATAAATAAATAATTCATCTTCGACAAATTTATTTTGATTAAGATATAATTCTTCAAGTCGAGGATAACGTTCTTTAACATATTCTTTTCCATGTCTAAATAAATCAGAAAAAAAAATTAATTTGATCTCAAAAAATAGAATTTATTTATTTAATCAAAGCAAAGAATATAATCATGATTGAAATATTTTATAGAAATTTTTTCTAAATCTACCTTCTTTTTTATTCATATAAAAATACTAAAATATATATGTTTAATAAAATGAAATTCAAATCTAAAATCTTATTTTCTTACATATCAGTATATATATAAGATTTAGCGAATCGACGTGGTAATCCAACAAGATCATTACCAGTTGCATGAAGTGTACGTAATGATGGTAACATTCCTAATGTTTCAATATCATGCATTGTTAAATTATTAAATGAAAGATTTAATTCCTAAATAAAAAAAACGTTTGAAATTTATAGAATAGACAAAATATTTTTTTTACTTCAAGTGTTTCATAATCGTTTACATTGATTTTTATATTTTTAATTTGATTGAATGATAAATCAAGTTGCATTAATTGTGGAAAAGTTTTAAAACCATCTAGAATATATATGTATAGAAAGATATTTATTTTTTTGTTATAAATTACATACGAAATGGTAATTGATTTTCACTTGCATCAATTTGTAAAACATTATCAAATAATAAAAAATCTTCTTCTGTAACCTAAATTTATCCAAAATTATATTAAATAACTATCTATATATAAGATTTACATCTTGCAATTCTAATCCATTGACACGTAAAATTACAACATTTGATGGATCTTCAATCGCACAATGATGCATCTAAAATATATATAAATAATTTCAATTCACAATTAATATTGACTTACAATAAAAAATCCATCTAATAAATGTTCAACAGTTTGTTCTTTTCCTGCCCATCGTTGTTTTTTCTTAATTTCTGTTTGAGTTATTTCAGTTTCAAATGGTGTTGGTGCTGAGAGTGTTGTAAGAATTGCTGCAAAACGTCGTTGTTCTGTATCACGTAATGCTACAACCCATTGTTCTTTTTAATAAGGAAAAAAATCAAACTACAATTCAATTTTTATATAATAATTTAAATCACATACGATTCGATGATGAACTTCGTAAAATATTTCGTACAGGGAAACAATTAGTTGGTAGCTCAGCATGATTTTCATTACCAGACAAAGGTCCATTATCATATTTAATCCAGGGTAATGTTGACATTTTAAATGAAAATAATATCTTCAACCGGATTTCCTTTTATCAAAAAAGAAAAAAACCATTCAAATTTTTGTTACTCCAGCAACGAACTCTATTTGTTAAAATCACATACAAAAAAAAATATATACCTTCAATCATCGAATGACATCTATCAAAATTCTGCTTGATGTAATGTACTGCGAACGAGGTTCTATATTAGTATTAGAAGAAAAAAAAACCAATTAGACAAAAGTATGCGCGTGACAACAGCTGCTTAGATTGTAATCGTTTTGTTGACAATTTTCTATTTTTTTTTCTACAAATAGGAAATTTCATGTCGGAATCAACAAATAAAACAGATTTAAATTCAAATAAAAATAATAATCGAATGAATAAACCTGAAATACAACGTTATTCAGTTGCTAAAGGAAAATATTCATCACGATTAAATACTGATAGACCAACATCAAGTATAAATTTATTTTTTCGTTTTAAAATAATAAATAAAATTCTTCTTTTCAAGGTAATACAACAAAAAATTCTAATACACAATATAATAATAATAAAAATCAATATTATCGTAATGATTCATCTTACTATGATAATGATCAATATGATTATCGACCAAAATCACAACGAAAAACTCCTAAACCGAAAGTAATTGAACCTGAAGTTAAAATAAATGAAGCATCATCAACTATAAAAGAGCCAAGTGATAGTGAAATTGAATCGGTAATAATAAAAATCAATAAACAAACGAATAGAATTTTTATGTATTTATTTCTTAGGAACTTGATAAACGTGTACAAAGTATGACATTTGAAAATCAAACATTATCTGAACTAAAATCATCATCATCAGAAACAACTCGTAGTGGTGGTTTGATATTTCTTAATAATAAAGAATCTCATGAAGATACACATGAATCAGATTCTTCACCGAAACAATTTTTTAATCAAACACGAAGAAATCAATCAAATAAAAAACCAATGCTTTCTAATCAACCTCGATCAGTTACACAATCACTTCGTGGTTTAACAAATGTAACTCGTACATTATATGATCCGAATGCACCCACACCAAAAACTCCACCTGCAGCACATATTCAACCAATAACAACGATCAAAGTTGCACCAAATCCATCTCCGCCCCCACCACCACCATCATTACCAACAAATACTCAACAACAAATGCAAGAATTCTATCAAAAGTAAGATTTAAAGAATATAAATTTTTTTTCATTTAAAAAAAACAAACTCAACATAATATTCATCTCTCTAGCTATCAATCGTAAGAAAAATTTTTATTCCAAAACAAAAAAAAAACACCACTCGCTCTTGCTCTTTGTTTCTATAAGTGTGTCATTCTCATTGCTCTCATGCTTTGTTTAAATTAATTCAAACTAATCTATTAACAACAGAAATTGAACGAAACTTTTTTTACAATAAAAATAATATTTCTATGAATTATTTTTAGGCAATTTTTAAATCAAGACCTTTGGAGTCAAACATATGGAAATACACCAATACAAAAAGATGTTAATTTACAAGCTGCACAGTAAATAAAAAAGATTTTTGATTTACAAAAATAAAATCGATAATTATTTTTAGATCAATACAAATGAGAAAACAAGCGTTTAATTATTGGTTAACACAAATAAATAATTTAGAAAAATCATTATCAATTTATTTAAATAATTCACCACATATGGAAGCTAATTTTCGACGAATGATGGAAGCGAAGTATGATTTATAAGTCAAAACAAAAAGAAGATGATTATTTATTTGCTTCTTTTTAGAACAATACTTCAACAAGCATACATTCATGCAATGATGATCGATATTGAAACGTCATTATCGAAAAATCTTGATGCTCATTTATGGAAATCATGTTTTCATAATGTTATTGAACGTTTTAGAGAATATGATAAACAATCAACTGATAATGCTAATGTGAAAAAATTTATTGAAACTGTTATTGAAGATGTAAGAGATCAATGATTCTGATTGTCAAATCTGTGTACTTTTGATGGGAACCTACAGAAAAGACATAGTCTTCAGTCGAGAATGTTAGGAAAGTGACATATGAATCTATTCGATTCCGCGTGAGACCAACTAAGTCCCGGAAGTTTCGCTCTTTCTCTTTGAAGTGATAGATATCTGTAATGGCTTATTTCATCTTATTAATCAAAGAAATTCTTGATAATAGAATCAATTCTTCTACGCTCAAGTTTTCTTTCGTGATGTTAGACTCTATCTAAAGTATTAATATAATTACTAGTAACTGAATTATTTACATTGTTCAATTTGGATAATTAATGAATGAAAAAAGCTTTGTTTTACTTGAAATACAAATTAAATTCTGTATACGAATCATACTTAGACGTGTTATGCCTTTCAATATTTCTTTATATTATATTTTACTTTAGGGTGAACAATTTTTCCTTGCTTTTATCTGTCAACTTGAATCAGCATTTCATATTGATACGAAACTCTATTTTAATCCAAATGCATATCCACCCGAAGTGAATACTATTCTAGCGAAATATGCTCTACTATGTGCTCAACATTGTTTTCTTAATCTTGGCGATTTAGCTCGGTAAAAACATATATAATCATTGAACAATATAATAAACATGTTTTTTTCTAGATACAAAGAAACCAATCGTAATGGTACTGATTATTCCCAAGCGAGAAAGTAAATTTGAAGAAAAGAAAAAGACAAATTTTTTGATATATTTATAATCTAGATATTATCTTCGTGCTCGATTATTATATCCAAAAAATGGCAAATCATGTAAACAATTAGGAATACTAGCTGTGATGACTGTAAAAAATTACATCCATATATAATATTTGAGAAATAAAAATTATTTTTCTATTTAATAGCATCGACGATTAGATGCGATTTATTATTATGTTCGAGCACTTGCAACAACAACATTAAATGATAGTGTAAAACAAAATCTTGTTTCATTATTTGAAGAAGCTCGTCGACGTGTATGTTCAAAATTTCTATTTTCAAAATGAAATTTATTTACGAAATATTATTTTATTTAGTTAGAAGCATTTGAAAAAGAACTAAAAGAACGTGATAAGAAAAATGAACGAAAAATTCGTGCAGGTTATTTAGAATTTAATAAAGAAAAACATTTATTGAATTATTTCTTTTTTGATAGGTAATCAAAAATTAGAAATTTGGAAACGAACAGATGGAACAATTGTTGGACGAAGTCTTGATGATGGACAATCAATCGGTGATCAAAATGATTTTGATGGTTCAGTATCACAACAAGAGGTTAATAAAAAAACAAAATTATTTAACTTTATCGATTTGTTTTTCTATAGCTTATTCATTGGTTTATACTAAATTATATTACATTGCACGGTAAACTCTATACTAAAACAGGGTAAATTAAATTTATAGTTAAAATAATAATACTGATTGTTATTTTTTCTTTTGAAATAAAGAATGGAAACATATACAGAATTATGTTCACGTATGCTTCGTCAATTTCAAAGTTTACTTCGTCATGATCCATGTGTATTTGGTAAACAACAATTAGTACAAATGATGGCGATTAATATGTATCAAATTGAAGTAGCTAAACAAGTTAATGCATCAGGTATATAACTATTATTTCTTTCAAAAGTCGCAAACTTATACATTCTCCTTTTTTAGTTGATATTGTTGTTCGTTCTCAATATGAAGAGTCATCTCTTCAATTAGCTCTTGATATGTTTGGTTTATTAACTGAACAAACAGCTAGTATAATCGAACGTCATATAAAAACTCGTTCAGCATTAACTGATCCTGATACACATCCACCTGTATTTAATAGTTGGTTACGATATGTATTTCCATCATTGAAAATTTTTACGGATTGGATGACATGTAATGTTAATTCATTTATACCATTACCCGATCAATTACCTGCAGAATATGGTCCACATCCAGATATATTAATGTCACTTGCAAAAGTTGTTAATCGTATTCGAACAATTGATCGAACACATATTCAACTTGCTTCAAATTTATCAAGTAAAGAAAAATTAATTGAAATTTTTATTCATTTGTTTTATTTTTAAAAGATTCAGTTCCGGTTATATTAGAAGAAGATATTGAACTTAGTGGATTTTATCCATTACTTACATTACCAGCTGATACATTACAAACAACAAGTGATACACCACTTGTAATTAAAAACAATTGTTTTTAAAAATAAATATTTTTTGAATATATTTATATTTAAGGATGAAGCAAAAGATTCAAAACGTATTATTCGATTATGTTTTTTTGCTGATTATTTATGTGGTCTTAAACAACCCGTATTTATTTATAATGTACAACAAAAAACATATCATCCAGCTTTGAAATCATCAATTCATTCTGAACGAAGTAAAAGTCCAGTTAATGAAACTCAAGTAAATTTCTTTCTTTTCTTTATCTTTCAAATAAATATATATATTTTCATTAGATTTCATCAATTGATCCTGAACATAATACAAACGAACCTGTATCACCATTATCAAGTTCGAATACAATCGATCCATCATCACCAGATTCAATTATTGATGGTATTGATATGAAAGAACTTAAACGTAAAAAACGACAACTTGAACATCAACTTGCTGAAAAACAAAAACAAGAACAAGTTGTTAAAGTAAACAAATAAAATTTCTATTCTTATATATATATATATATATTTAATTCCAGGATATTCTTAATACATCACGATTAATTGAAATCGAAGTTGTACCACGTTTTGTTGTACTTGACACAAACTGTTTTGTTAATTATCTTCCAATAATATATAAATTAATAAAACAAGGTCGATTTACAATAATAATTCCATTAATTGGTAAAGCAAAATAATTCGTCTTCTTTCCATTTTCAACAAAATAATTTTTTCTAGTGATTTGTGAACTTGATAAATTATCGATAACAACAATTGTTGACGATGATTCTTATGAACATGCAGAAATGGTTCGTCGACAATCTATACAAGCTGTTAAAATGATTGAAGAATGTTTTGCTAGTAAAGAACGACGTGTACAAGCGATGACTGGTGAAGGAACTGTTCTAGATTCTATACAATTTCGAAATGAAGTGAAAAAACATGTAAGAGAAAAAAAATCAAATTTTTATCTTTTCGTTATATTTTTATTTCTTTAGGAATCCAATGATGATACAATTTTAGGGTGTTGTTTGAAATATGTATGTTAATCTTGTTTTCTCTTTCTCAAAGCTTGATCTTTTTCTTTTGTAGTGTCATGATAATCCACGAGAGTTTTTTCCACAAAATAAAGGTAGTATTTATTGATCTCATATGAAATAAATTAGTTCTTGATGTATTTTAGATGGAGCTATTCGGTTACATCGTGAAGTTGTACTTATAACAGATGATCGAAATCTACGTTTGAAAGCTCAAGCTCGAAATGTACCTGTGAAAGATTTAACAAAATTTCTTGAACTTGCACAAGTAGTTTTATAAAAATGGATAAATCGATTATACAAGAATCTAAATCGATTATATCGAATAAAAGAAAAATCTATAAGGTAAATATATATATTGTTTCTAATGAAAAAAACTCGTTTTTTTGTGTTTTAGATCAAGTATATCTTCTCAATATGTAATTAACCGGTGCTGAATAAAGAAAAGAACTGAATAGATCAAGATGGTTTGGTTTATTATTTCCAGTCAGATGAAATATTTCATTGTTTATTGTACTTTAAAAATTTCTTACAATTATTATTATTATTCGATATTTCTTTTGTATCTTAATATAATAGAGACAGAGAAAAAAATCTCGAAGAATTCTCTTTTTTTCTTCTCTCTCTCTCTCTTTCTTTCAATATTGTCATTAAAAGTGAATATACAATGAAAATGTTTAACTTTTTTGATTTTCATTCATTGTTTTTTTCTTTTCGATACGCATGTACGTGTTTGTGTGTTATATGAAAGTCAAGAATTATTTGTGTACTACTAATAAATTATTCTGCTGGATCATTTAAAATTAAATATAACAGAAAGAACAAGTTGAAGTTATTTATAACAATTGCACATGAAATTTTATTGAGATAAATACATTTTATCAAATTGTCATAAAGATACAAAAAAATATATATAAAACTTTGTCGATAAGATTCAATCGAAAGACATGATATTTGTAAGAAATAAATATTATCAAGTTTTAGGTAATAAAATATAAATCATCAAGGTAAATAGAAATTATTCATTATTTATTGATATACTCTCTACATAAAAATAAACGAACTTATGGTACAAACAGGAGTGGCACGAGTCAGCCAACATATGGGGTTGCCGCAAAGTTTTTTGAAGTAAGAAGATGAATTTCGCGATTTTTTGAGTGGGCGTAGCATTATTTTTGATAAAAAGTCTAAGAAGATTTGTCGATTTTGTTGAGCAAAAAATAGAAATTTCGAAAGATTGAGGGGTGTTACACGTCCCTCCCCAGTCACGCCACCCCTGGAAACAGATGTATTGAGATATCAACACATGTACGTCATACTTATTATTGTCGCAATATAAACAAAATATTTGTCTATATAAAGAATCATATCAATTAAATCTTTCTATTTCCATAATTCTTGAAATAAGAATAAAAACTCCTACTCTATTGTCTTTTTATTGTGTGGTTTGTAATTTCAGAATATCAAATATCTTTCTTATATTCATTTGTATTAGTTTAAGAAAAGGAAATAAGACAGACTAAACAAAATGAACTCTGAAGAAGATGACGATAGTATTCCACACATATATCTATTAGGTAAAACATATTTACCTATCAATGAAAAATTTCATATTCGAAATGATCCTATAATACATATGGCTGCTGGTGATAGACATTCGATTATTGTTACTGAAAGTGGTCGTGCATTTGCTTTTGGTGATAATAATTCAGGTAGTAAAAAAAAGAAGAAAAATATAATTTTTGAGTTCTAGTTAAATATATATTTAGGACAATTGGGTCTTGGTCATACGAATAATATCGATAAAGTTTCATGTATCAAAAGTTTAAAATTTGGTAATACAGGTGAAAAAATTATTTTAGCTGCATGTGGTCGTGAATCATCATTAGTTGCTACAAATCAAGGTTCATTATATGGATTTGGTTCAAATAATTATTATCAATTAGGTATTGATTCAAATGAATCAACAACTATTTATTCATATCCTGTTAAAATAAAATGTTTTAATAGAAGAATATCATGGAAAGAAATTTCAATGGGTGCTGAACATTCATGTGCATTAACAATATATGGTGAAGTTTATGTTTGGGGATCAAATGAAGATAGTCAATGTGGATATTCACCTAATTATTCTTTTATAAAACTACCCGAAGAACTTAGATTAGAATATTCAGTTTTTTCTATGTAAATTATTGATGAAAACAAAAAATATTTCGATAATTAATTAGAAATTACTTTTTTTTTAGTTCATGTGGATATTATCATACAGCATTAATCAATGAAAATCATCGATTATTTTTATGTGGAAATAATGAAAATAAACAATTCGGACGAACAGTAACAGATCAATATATTAGTCCATTAGAAGTTTCACTACCAGAACCTGTTAAAGCTGTGGCATGCGGAAATCAATATACGGTTGTATTAACAGAAAATGGAAATGTTTATACTTGTGGTATAAAGAACGAACATAGATTTCCTTTTATTATAATTAGAATCAATATATAAAATTTCTTTTTATTTATAGGAAGAGGTGATCGTGGTCAACTTGGTCTTGGTGTTGGAGTTCCATTTGCAAAATATTTTGAATGTATTAAATTGAATTTACCAGATGATGTTATATCTATAGCTGCTGGTGAAGCTCACACAGCTATTCTTAGTTCTCAAGGTGATTTATATGTATTTGGTGATGGTAAACATGGCAAATTGAGTTATGGAGCTCATTCAAATGAATTTCAACCGTGTTCTATTGAGAAATTTAAAAGATACAATGTAACGAAAGTTGTTTGTGGTGGTTGTCTAACAGTAGTTCTTGCTCAAAGTAGATCATTTGACAATGAAGAAGATAGTGAAAGTATGTTTACTTTTTCCCATATGATAAATCATTATTTTTCTTACCATTCGTATAGATTCAGAAAACAAAATTACAAAAAGTATCTCACGTCTTAATCATCAATTAACAATGACTAAACGAACAACTGCAGATGGATTGTTTCAATACAACGAATCATTTAGAAAAAGATTTCCTTTACATTCTGAATCAAATTTGGATTCTGATAGCTCGTCTACATCAATAGAAAGTGTATTGAAGAATACAACACATTTAGGAATAAATGGAGAATTCAAACCACTACGTTCAATATTAAAATCAAGCAGTTCTTCTATAAGTAGTAAAGATTCTACAACATTAAAAACTGATGTATATGACAACATGACAGATGATTTAACAAAATCAACTAATCATATTTCATCTACTGATAAATCATATAAATATGGTACAAAATTAGATCGTAGAAATCGAAAACAGATTTCATCATCTGAAGAATCATCTACATCTACATCTACATCAGAAGAAAGTCAACAGGTAAAATCATCGGACAATAATAATATTAATACAAATACAGAATCAATTGCGAAAACGAAATTAACAAAAAATATTTCTAATAGTCAACAATCAGAATCATCAACAAGTGTTAGTCGTAGTACAACAGATACTTCTAATGAAGAAAGTCAAGCAAAATCTTTAGGAACAATTGATAATCTTCATAATAGTTTTCCTTCACATCCAATAATAAATTCATATACTGAATTAAATGAATCCCAACCTGGTTTTTTTTCAAGATTTTTCTTGGGAAAATCTTCACAAAATTTACCGCCAAATAAAAATAAGAATTCTAGAATATGTTCAATTATGTAAATTTATCAATTATTATAAACATAAAATAAACTATAATTAATACAAAAATAGCATATTCAATATTCTTTTTTCTTTCTTTCTTTTAAATAAAAATTTCTATTTATTTCAAAAATACTTTAATGAGTATTTGAATATCCGTTTGTAAATGATAAAAATAATTTTTCTTACAATTAAATATGAACGTGTTAATTTTTATTGAACAGAGATGTATTTTCTTTGTAGTCTATATTTAGTGCATAATATATCAGTATGTCATTAGATATAAAAATATTATTTTTATGTCACTAATGTTATTGTTACTTATCGCTTGTATTTATAAGATAAAAATAATCTAGTATCATTAGTTCTGTTTAATGTAATGAATAAACGACCTTTTTTTTCTGTTACATATGTAAATAGATAGTCATTTTAATACATGTTAAATTTCATATTCTTTCTTTTCAAATATTTAAATTGTTCAAACCGTCGATTGAAAATATCAAATTTGTTATTTGATTATGATAAAACTTTTTTATTAAATAATTTTCTTCATTATATATTATTATTTCTAAAAATAAATAAAAACTCACGGCTTAAAACAATACATATGGTATTTCTCATGCGAGTATAATATTAATCTTCATAGTAACATATATTCTTTAAAGAAACAAAGAAAAATACAACTATAGATGCATTTGACAGCACGTTTTTTTCGAGTATTTATTTGATACTGAAAAAAAAGAGTCTTGATGTGTAGGTTTTTTTTTCTCATACTTATCTGACTGTCTAGCAGTCTGTCTCATATGAAGAATGGATATATAATCGACATATTTGTTTCCATCACTAGGTCGAAGGTGATAAGAGAAGGCAAGAAAAAAAAAGAAGAAAAAAAAAGAGAGGAGAAAAGGAAAAAAAACAAAATAACCATCAACGAAAAAAAAAATAACATCATCATCGTTGCCGTTGTCGTACAAGTATAAGAAAAAGAAGAAAAAAAAATCCACAATGAGCCATGATCTATTTGATGATGAAGTACTTACTGCAAAATATCGTCTTCATAGACCTAACTATCCAAAAAAAGTATATGAACATATTGTTGATTATTATTATACTGGAAAAATTGTAAATGAAAAAATTCCACTAGCACTCGATGTTGGCTGTGGAAGTGGTCAGGCAACTGCAGATCTTGGTTTGTAAGTATAATAATTTCAAGAAAATAAAAATCATAGTTTTATTTTTCTAATAGATTTTGTGAACATGTTATTGGTATTGATGTTAGTCCAAATCAAATATTTCATGCAATAGAAAAAGACAATATTGAATATAAACATCATACAGCTGAAGATTTATCATTTCTTGAATCAAATTCAGTTGATTTAATTACAGCTGCTACAACATTACATTGGCTTGATATAGAAATATTTCTTGATGAAGCTAAACGTGTACTTAAGCCACATACAGGTGTACTTGCAGTATGGACATATGCATTAGGTACTTTAGACAATCCTATAGCTGATGCTATTTATCATGAATTTAGTCATGTTTTATTATTTTCTTATTGGAATATAAAACGATGGTTAGCTGATGATTATTATGAATCACTTGTACCACTTTTACCATATAAAACAACATTACGTCAATTTACAATTGAGCAGCGAACAGAAATAACACTTGGACATTTTCTTGGTTTTATTGAATCATTATCTGCTTGTCAAACATATAGAAAACAAAATGGTGAACAAGCATATCAAAATATCTTATCTACATTACGTTATAAATTAATTCAATGTTATGTTAAAACAAAACTTAGAAATTCAAATGATGAAACAGTAGATTTTGATTCAATTAAAATGATTGTTTCAAGTCCAATTCGACTTTATTTAATGAAAAAAAATCAGATGTAATTTTTAATATTTACCAACAATCATCTTATTGTACTTTCTGATGTTTTGTATATATTTGCTTATATACTTTTTCAAAGGTTATGGATCGGTGTTTCTTTTTTTTATTCTTTTAATGTTATAATGAATGATGTTAAAATAAATTTAGTGCAGATGAAGATCTAATAAAATATGCGCAGTTTAATAAAAAATATAATTTTAGTATCATCTAAAAACAAGATAAATACAATGAATCATTGGACAATTGAATAATATATCTGATGATTATAGTGAAGACTTTTTTCTTTAAGAGCTTTTGATAAGAAAGAAATGTCAGATGACTTTTTTTTTGATAAAAGATCGAGGATGTTTAATAATCTTTTCTTTTAGAAATTTAATAAATATTTAACGAAAGTGCTGAGAGAATATTTCAGAAGCATAATAAATATGCGTATGACACTGTTATTGACTATATACTGGATAATGTGTTTCTAGCATGACTTATAAAACAGGATATTTATAATGACTAATTATTAACTATCAATATGTGATATATTATTTATCTCTTTTTGTTTTATAAGTTTTATCACATGACAATAATCACATTCGTTTGTTATTATATTTTTATTTTCTAAAGGTTTTCGTTAAAGGTTAAACCAAAAGTATATTTTTTTGTATATCAAATGTCATGTGATACTATTTTTCATTAGTATCATTAAAAAAATAAATATTCTATGAATTTTACATAAGATATTTTATTATGAACACTCTATTCTATTAAAATTTAATTAATTGAAATTTTTATCTTGAATAGAATCTCTATCGATCTTAATTTATAAATAACAAGATTTACAATAAATAGTATAGATGAGTTGTGACAGCTGCTTAAAAAGATAAAGATATCTGTCATACTCGAAGACATACGTATTTTTCTTATAATAAATATAAATTTTCAAGGGAAAAAAGATATAAAATGAATTATCGATGAAACGGTTATTAACGAGGACATTTCTATAGATAGATACCTTATGTCAAGATCATAGAGTCACTTTAATTGGATTATGTCTATTATAATGACAGTTTTTTTGCTTGATGACTTCCGGCGGGGTAAAATTTAAAAATATATGATTTGTAACTAGAGGATATAAATAATGTCAGAGTTTGTATTACCAAAAGATTTAATATATTTAATTAAAGATATCATTCTATGCATGGTTTTGACTAGAATTAATTATACCAATGAACGTTAGATGATACGTTCTGGTACTTATAATCTGAATTTCTAGGTTAAAAATTATCTGTTCTTTTTCAATGAATGAACTTTTTTTGTACTTGAGATTAGAATTAGTTATCTATTAGTGTTTGACAAAAATATACAATGTTTAAATCATTTGCAGGATTTTTTGAGTACTTTTGTAAGAGAATAAATTGAATATTTTGTCTCATTCATAGATAATCTAAGATTCATGTCTGAAATATATAATTTAATGATATCTCCTACTGTTTTTCTTCAATGCTAACATAAAAAATATCTCATTTAGAGAGGAACACTACTTCCGTTTATCAGTATAGTATTATTGAATATACATAACGTTAAATTTTTTTAATTAATATATTTGAAGTTAATTTCTATTTTAAAAGTACAGCACTATTCTCACCGTTATTCAAATGTCTTTATTGAGTTTTCTATTATAATAGAAAGTTTTTTTTTGTTTATATTTTCTTCAGAAAATTTGTAGACTAAAGTCAGCGATACATTAGAAAACCTACTTTTAATGGTTGATTTTTCTATTCTGTTAGTACTCGCTGTTTTCTTGTATTTCTGTTCTTTTGATATTCAATATTGATTTCTCTCTAACTATCAATCAATCAATTTGATTTATGAGTGAAAAGCCTTAAATACAATTAACTTTGATTAACAGCTACTATTATCACTGTATATGGATCGTAACATCATATATCATACAAAGGACGTACCTTACATATTATAAATAGATATTCATTCTTTTTCTTTCTTACCCACATATACATATATTACCACGTGTAGTTATTTCTCTCTATTGTTATCTCTTGTTTTTACCCTATATTTTTTCTCTTCTGTATGTGATTACTGAAGTATTTCCTCTAAATATTAAGATATATCTTGAAATATTCCAACTTATAAAATGTGTAATAGAAATATCCATTGTTTCATGTGTGAAGAGCGTCAATTAAGTTTAATAAATAGTTTATTAGTATCAGTATATCTGACTTGTTATACTTCGATTCACATTATCTGAACGTGGTGGAAATATTTATGAACACAATGGATATTAGTATATTTTTCTAAAGTAGAGATTTATGTTGGAAAAACATACCTGCTCAAGTATATTAAACTTATTTGATAACTAATTAACTTTTTTTCTCATTTTGACTGTATGAAACAATATTATTTTATGAATAATTTGTTTTATCCTGTGAAAAATACTCCCATATTTAAGTGTCAATTAATCGTATTTTGTGTGACTTTTTACATTTAATAACTATATAGCTGAGAGAAGTAAGAAAATATTCTTTTTTATGGACCTAATAGAAGATCCGGAGTCTTCTAATGTGTTCTTGGCTTTACAGATAATACATAATGTGTTTTGTATATTAAATTCAGTTGTTATTTTGTGTACTCGAGCAATAGAATTAAATATAGACCAAATTATACAGAAAAAATCTACTAAAAATTTCAAATTCCATCTATTCTATGTTCACTATATAAATATATTATCAAATATTAGCTAATCATGAAGTTATACTCATGCTTATGATTAGTTTTTTATCGGTAACAATTGATCTTTCACTAGCACTTCATGATTTTCATGCAATACTCTGTTTTTTAAACAAGAATTTAATTTACTCACTTCATATGATATATTAGTACATAATGTATTACACTGTATATTAATAATAATATTTAGTATGACTTTATCAATTCAGTTTATTAGAAAAACTAACAACGAATAGTTGTGCAACGATGATTAATACTCCATTATTTTTATTTAACAGTTCTATTTAAAATCATTTGTATATCTTCCGTTACTTAGTCATGCGCACAAAATACTTAAAAAATTCATTTGTTGTTTAATAGGGATTTTCAACAAAAGTACATATTATTCATGATTAAGAAATATTATACTTATAAATGTAAATAGAGTAAGATGTGCTGTTCTTTTTGCCCTTAAGTATCTATATGTAAAAGATATAATATGAAAAAATAGAATATTGATCACGATGAGTTGTTAGAACAAGAAAGGTTATGTTAGACATGAAATCTTTACTGTTCGAGATAAAAAGATGTTTTTATCAGGTGCATTTGAATTAATACTATATATAAAGCTGATAGTCTCTGGAGTTTTCTACGGACAACTGAGTCACAATGGTTCGTACTTATTTTAGTTCGCTTAAAAATTTATGAAATTTTGTGAATGAATTCATAATAAGTTTTAATTTCGAATACACATCTATCATGATCAGTCAAGATTTAAAGTCTTACTTCTAAACTTCAGCTAATACTTACCATTGTATTCAAACGAGAAAGATATTCTGCTCACGCTTGATGTGAAGTTCTAATCTCCATAAAAACTCCCTCTTTTATTAATAATAGATACATTTGTTCATCTCTCTGCATTCACTGTCGTTCTATTCAATATTCAGTAATGTATTATGTATGTATAGACATGCGATTCTTAATACGGATTATAAAGTAAATTTGAATCTAAGCCGAAGTTTGATATTCTTGTCAGTACTTTTTATAATTCTTAATACATAAAAATATGTCTACACGCTTGTTTATATTTCAAACCCTGCTTTGTAATTCTTATTTTTAGAATTATTCCTTTGATCTTTTCCTTAAAAGGAAAAACGATTCAATGCTTTTCAATGTATCAAAATAACTGGAAACTATAACAATATATTTGTTAATTAGAAAAATCATTAAGTATATTTGGACTTCATCATATAGAACTTTGCAGAAGACTAACTCTCAAATGAACATCCATCAAACTGTTAATCTTATGGGATTGTAATTTTCTTTTCATACATGTTTGTTTAGTTTACGTGATGTGTCAAATAATAGACTAGGAAACGATAGTCATTTTTTAAACGAAATGTAAAAATAATTTTATAGATGAACATAGTACATGCATTTTTTTTCAATTTTTCTGTTATATTTTTTCTTTAATGGTCTATTGAAGAACTGTCACATTATTTCACAAAATTTTGAGTACAAGAAAGAAATTTCGGGTCATAGATTTGTTTTTATTAAAAGTAAAAATACAGAACAGTTAATCATTTATGAAAAGATAAATAAATTCAACAAACATGTCTTAAATATTATATTTTACACAATTTTGAAAATAGACAATGAAAACACTAAATAATCAGTATATGTCATTTTGACATTTTCAATTAAATAAATATTTTATGTTAAATATTTAAAGAATGAAAAAAATGAAACCAAAATTAAGAAATATAATTGATAATGACTGTTAAATTTTGTATTGAAAAAAAAATTTCAGATTAAACATTTTCCTGTAGATTATCATACAACGAAAATAGGATCTTTTTTCTCAACTTGAAACATATATGATAAAACAATTTTATTGTTATTGATATTTGTACCTATTTATTTACTCTTAGATTATTTGTCAAAGTTGTTTATGTAAAATATAGGATTGCTTTTATGTTGAATTAGATTGTATTATATCTCTAATAAAAGTCATACTTACAATAAGAATTACACAACAATATTAGCAGGTTATTAACTTATCTTTTATCCAAATGTCTTCACAGCTGAAGTATTTTATTCTAATAATAAAATTGTCGATTTTTGGATTCATCTAACTTATACGATCAGATCAAGTTCGCTACTCAAATGTGCTAATCATAACACTGCCACAGATATTACTTCACAAGCAATAGCTAATATATTAATGAGATAAATAATTATATTAAATAAAATTATTTTTAGATATTTATAGGATGAACAAGCGCGAAGAGGATATCATTGATTAAGAATATTGATTAATAATATTGATTAAGAATAAAAAAAAGAGAAGAATTATTTCTAGCAATATCAAATACTTATTTCATCAGAATCAACATGTCACACATCAATGTTTGGTTCATTAGAAATTAAATATAATTTTCAACATTAGCTTAATCTTCATTCATTAGCTCAAGCAGTTCGATTAGGAGTTTTTTTTAAATTAATGATGGAGGATTTGAATATGCTCATGCTCATCATTCATATATTTCATCATTTGTTCAAAGAATTTTTCGTTGTTTTAAACATATTGATCATTATCATTCACTCACTTATTTTATAATAAGTCATCATCCATTACCACATGAACATAGGAGCAGCCAGCCAGGCAAGTACTTATGAAAGAACCAGATCAGGCTGGATTTTTGAATTTCAGTCTGACCGATTACTATATGTTAATAATTTTATACATAAACTGTTTTCTTTCATCTGAGTAATACGTACAAGAGGAAAACAAAGTTGAGTAATTATTTAGTCCGACATGAAAAAGGACTGCCTATGTAATGATATAAATAGGAATAAGGAAAACAATTGGTAGCACATACTGAAAAGGCTAACTAATAGTACAGTTATCATAAACTGTATGCATATGAAAGTGCATTTATTAAAGTAATTCTCCAAGAGAATCGAATCGCCACGAGTGTGTTAAATATTCATTTTCATGCTTTGTTAACAGGTGGTCGAAGCTATTTAAGTATGAATCACGCTTGTTATATTTGTGAAAACATATGAAAACTGAAAAAATATAGCATTTTCAAATAGACCCATGCAGTTGGATGGGATACAGTGTCTGAAAATGGCTTAGTAACGGATGAACGCAGCAAGAATACAAATAAAAAGTGTCTTTTACCATTTGCCAACCTCTTATTTGGGGCCCAATTGATCAAAGTTTTCTTACACTACCAAGTATCCCTAACTCACATAAAATGAATTAAATAAATATAGAATCGAATGTGTTTACCCCCTCCTTGATCAGTATCAGCCGTTGGAAGAAAATCAATATTTTTATTTTCTTTTTCACGAATCTAAAAGAATTTATTCATTTATTTATGCGAATTAAAAAAGCATAACGAACTTCTTTTTCGAGTCTTGTAACTATTTCTTTCATTTCATTATTCTCTTTTTGACATTGTTGTAAATTCTCATTGATTTTCTCTATAAAATTGAATTATCGAATGAATGAAATTCATCAAAAAGATAATATTTATTAATCCATTGTGATTTTGTTCAGTTTCACATGGAAGTGAATATCCATCAACTATGACAATATAATTAAAATTTTAAAACAAAAAAAGACAAAATCTTACTATCTTTAAAACAAAAATGGATAAAACAGGTATTAGAGTCTAATTGAAATAAACCATATTCATTTTTATGTACATGTAATTTAAAAAGATCATTTATTCGTCCAATTCGATATACAACATTTCTGTTTTCCGAGTGCTTTCTCAGCTTTCGACAGGGATCGATCGACTGTCGGTTTCAGCGACATTTTGCTAGTCTAAGTAAACCCCGAGTACTTAAACTATCTACGATCTCAAGTTGTTGTCCCTCCACGTAGATTTTCATCTCTGGGCGTACAAACTGCGAGTAGAAAATTTGTACAACCGATTTTTCAATGTTAATCGGTTGTTTTCATTTTAATGCATATTCTGCAATATTTTTACATATTCTGTTTTCCTCCTTTTCTTTATATTCAACCATCGCGCGCAGAGATTTCATTATCGAAGCACTTATCAGCACATTCAGATCATCTGCAAAGATGTGACCTGAGTGTATCGATGTATATAATGATCCGTTAATGCTGCACTATAAGACAAATGACGGCGAAAAGCATATATTATCAGTAATGATACCTATAAAAAAATTTGGCAATTTAACAAATCAATATTTTGTTTTCTCTTACGTTTCCAAAAAGATCAATATTACCATTAGCCGAATCATTTATATCCCATTAAGAAAATAAAGAGAGAACTGCTGCAAAGATCATTTTAAACTAATATTGTTATTTCAGTCAGAAATAAAAGAGGGGGATTCGAGCATTCGTGTTCAAACTGCACACATCATCAGAAATGGCATTGTGAACTTTATCTCTTGAGGGTGTGGGTGTGGGTGTGGGTGGGCGGTATCCATATCTTAATGAGCTCCACATCCACACCATCTATTCTGTGCTTACTTTATAAGTATTTATCATCAAAGATTAGCTAATCATGGGGTCATAGTCATGCTCAGTGACGGCGGAGCGTGGAGGCTCAAGCCTCACTTAGTTTTTAGCCCTTGAGGCTCGGTCTCACTTATTTTCGGATTGAATATTATCTTTTATTATTAGAATTTGTTATGTTCGGCATCTAACATAACCAAATATATATTCTGACATATCTACCTTTTAATGCGGTTCACCTATTTTTTCTGTTTTTCTTTCTTCTATTCTTTTATCGCATAGATATCACATACAGCTTATATATATATCATGTATGCTCTTCTTTTCTTTTACTTGGATATTTTCCTTGTCTATATGGTATTCAGGTATTTTTCCTCTTCTCTGACACGTTTTCTTGTCCGCATGTTTGATTTTTCCTCATTTCGTCTGTATATGTTTTATTCCCAAAACATTTGGTTTTTTCAAGCGCACATACATATATATATTATTACGGCAATAAAGAAGTAGCTTAGTAGTGATCGAAATGATTTAAATCCTCTTCACAGTGTATTTAATGGCTGAAAAACGTCCAAACATTCACCCATTTTTGCTTTTGACACATATACAAAGAAAAGTCTCTGTTCAACTTTCGCATCGAAGAACGAACAGAGAAAGTTATTTTTTGGTACGTTCTGATTTGTTTTATTTTCACGATGACCGTTGTAGTTTTTACTGAGGTCTAATAAAAAGAAGACTTATATTTTGCTTCATGTTTTAATAAAAGTTCACAGTAGAAAAAAATATTGTGACCCTCACTTATATTAAGGACGCTCTGCCGCTCCTGGAAAGATCATTATGTATATTTGAACTTCATTATATAGAAATTTTCAGAAGACAAACTGTTAATCTTATGGGACTGTAATTTTCTTTTTATACATGTTTGTTTAGTTTACGTGATGTATCAAACAATAGACTAGAAAAGATAGTCATTTTTTAAACGAAATGTAAAAATAATTTTATAGATTAACATAGTACATGCATTTTTTTATTAATTAAAAAATAAAGAAGTACACAGAAGAATACATTTTATACTCATATTCAACAAAAAAAAAAGAAATTAATTAAATAGAATGAAGAAAAATTGTATTAAAAAGCATTATTCATGGTTGAATCAATAATTGTTGTTTCATTCAGATGTTTAGATGGAAGAAATTTTCGAAGTACAACTTTACATTGACCATTAGCAACTATTTTTGGTACAACACCTTGTTTATTTGTCATTAATTCAATCATTTTTGTATATGCTAATTTTTCTGCTTGTTGTTTTGATTGATGTATACCATTTGATAAGATTATTTTTGAATTAAGCATAAGTCGATGAAACCAAATAGGTTGATTTTCTAATGTTTTTAATTGTTCATGACTTGTAAGAAATAAAGGTTTTGTAATTAATGACTGAATGGATTCAACATCGTTTGTTTTTGAAATATTTGAATTCATAAGACAATCACGTAATTGAGAAACAAGAATAATATCAGCCATTAATGGATGAGATTCACTATTAATTTATAAAAAAAAGATGAAAATATCAATTTATAGAAATAAAATTTTACCTTTCACAATCACTTGTATCCGAAAGAAGATCTGCCCATTTCGCTTGTTCTTCAAAATCTGTTTTATCACATTTTGAAGCTAAATAAAGAAAATATGTATTTTTACAAAGTAAATCTAACACTTACTATTAGTATTTAAACTATGCTCTTTGTTTTGGCTTTGGCTTATATCTAAAATAAAATAATGTTAGCAAAACAAAATCATTTAATTTCGAAAATATTTAACCCCATGAGTAATCATTTTCAGTTTGTGAATGAGGAAGTTTAGCCAATGATGTATCATTTTCAGCTAATAATTTTGCTGTTTCATCAGTTTTGATTTCTTTAAAAAAACAATAATTAATCAATAAATGATTGTAATTAAATAGTGAAATATTTACTGTTGATTGGTGTTGACAAAGGTGAATATCGATGTCGTGGATATTCGTCTCCTCGTGAGAGAAAGTAATCGCTTGGTTTACCAAATAATGCTAGAAAGAAAAATTACTCGTAATAAATTTAGTTATAAATAAATAGACAAACCTGGCCGACGGATTACACCCGAACTACTTGATGATGAATTTCGACGACGACGTTGTGGATATCGTGATTGTACATTTGTTTGTGGAACAAGAGCTGCATTTGGCACATTACTATAATAATTATCATGTAATGGTGTTTTTGAATGTTTATTAAACATTAATCGAGCAGAATTTCTTGGTGGTGATGGTGATGATTTAACTGAATTACCAAGTTGTTGTATTTTACAATCAGTTGAACACGATGATGAATCTGATGATATTTCTAAATAAATTTATTTTTATGTATATTCGAAAAAATCATATGAAGAAAAACACGAACGTTGATGAAAGGCAATATCTTCTATATGCATTTGAACAGCTATTTGTGTAGTTTGTGCCCATGCTTGAATACGTTTAACAACAAAATTACGTACTGCTTCATCATAATGTCTAGAATAACAAAATCAAATTCATATATATTCATTGTTTGTAACAGATATGACTTACGAAATCACCCAAGTAACTTTTTCAAATGGATCTTTTGGACCATGTGTTTGTAAATCAATAATACATGAACTAAATTGTCTTAAATCATTCAAACGTTTATCCTATAAAATATTCGAAATTTTATTAAGAATATAAAAAAGATAAAAAAAAATTGTACTTGAAAACCACAAAATTCTCGACGAATATCGAAATCATCCGAATCTGAACGAATATGTGTTGTAATAATTGTAGTCTTTAAAAATAAAAATAATTTATATATAAAACAAAGAAAATATATTTCTAAGTCAATATTTTACTTCACTCATTGTCTTTGAATGTATGAAGATATTCGACTATATGAATATTTAGTCGTACATCGATATATAAAGATATAAGATTATATTATATATTTTCTTCTTAAAGAATTACGTCCGATTGAAATGTTGGAAAGAACGAAAGAAAATTTTTCTCTGATACATGTTCAAGTTAGATAAATTTATTTTATATGATATGGTACTATTTATCTTTAGAATCATGTTTCTTTTTTTTCTAAATATAACTACTCACGTACATGATAAATTGCTTCCTCTTTTTTTTTTAAATTTTAATAGTGATGAGTCATCACGTAGATAAAATCAATGTAAAAAAAATCAGTACGATCAAAGTACGAATATATATCATCTATATAGAAATGCAATGACCTGTATTCTACATACTATATTTTTATTTAACTATTTCTATGTTGGAATATTTAGCAAAAAAATCGAAATAAACTTGTGTAAATAGTAGAAAAAAACTTGTTCGTTCTATAAAATATCAATTAAGATATTTTTTAATATCTATCTTATTACTCATTTTCTGACGTTATATACTTGAATGTCACGACTCGAAGCTTCTACGCGTGATATCACATAAACAACGTGAAAGACACATGCCTATATAAACAGTAATAACAATGTACAGGTGCACTATTATAATTTTTTCGCGTGTTTAGTGCATATCAGAAGTGGAAATTCGTTGAAAATGTAAGTATTAGGTTAAATCTTTTTTTTTAGGATTTGAATATATCTTCATTTAGGGATAGACTTCTTCGACCATGGACATCGAAATATCCAGAATATTACTATGAAGATCTAAGAAGATTTCAGCCTCGACATTATTATGAACAACCCGTTATGCCTTATACACATAGAGATAGACGTCATAGACATCGACATCGTATGTTAATAAGAAAAATAAATTAATACATAAAAAAATATTTCTTTTCTTTTATAAATATAAAGATGGTCTTGACCAATCAATGCGTTCAACAGTTACTAAAGAAATGTTAGAGTTACATAATCGTCATCGTGCACGTCATTGTGCAAGACCATTGACTATAAGTCAAAGATTAAATAGAATTGCACAGGATTATGCTGAACATTTAGCAGCTACATCTAAATTTGAACATAGTGGAACTAAATTTGAAGGTCAACATATGGGAGAAAATCTTTATATGAATTGGATATCTGATGGTCATGTTACAGTTAGTACAAAAGCAGCAGTAAAATTTTGGTATGATGAAATAGCTCTACATGATTTTGATCGTCCAACATTTTCAAAAGAAACCGGTCATTTTACACAAATGGTATGGAAAGATAGTAGAAAAATGGGTGTTGGAGTAGCTCTATCACCTGATAAACGAGAAGTTTATTTTGTAACAACCTATTTTCCTGGAGGAAATATTATTGGCCCTGGAACATTTGAGAAAAATGTATTACCACCTAATTGTTAAATAAATATATACTTCTAAACTAAAATGTGCATTTCATAGGCGAATAAACATTCTTTTGATTTTTTTTCATTGTTTTTATGCAAATGTTTTATCATTTTCTTTTTCAAATAAATTTTATTGCTCAGTGAAAATGAAAGAAATAACCAACATCTTCTTTTCGTTGCTTTTATATATAAATAATTAGATAATATAACTAGAATTAGATTTATAAAAGAGATGGTTTCATATTAAATATAGGATTTAATATATTGTTCATATATATTAGTCTGAAACTTAGTATGACATAATTTATAATAGTTTACTATGAAAGTATTGGGAAATATTGACAAACTTAAAAAACTATCAAATAATAACAATATATTTCGTTGGTGTTCTTCTCTATCAATTAATATGTTGACTTGTAATTGAGAATATATAAGTAAAGTCAGAAAAGTATGAAGAAATACGAAGTACCTTTTCTTGTTTTCTGTGATATTACTAAAGCGTGAAAAAAGACTAAAAAAGCAATTAATATATAATAGATATGTTATTTATCATATCGATACATTTCATATTCTTGAATCATATGGCGTCATATTTAATTATTTGCTCTTCAGTAGATTTTGAGAGAAAATATATTTTTAAATTGTTAATTTCTAGTCAAAATTTCAGTTTTAAATAATCGGTGCGCTGGAAATATAATCACCTGCTTCTACTATAACTTATTTTCTCAGATTAAATATCAAGGGAATAGATGATTTCATTATAATAAATATTTCTCTCTATGTATGAAATTCTGAATGAATGATAAGTCTTAATTCATTTGTTTTCTATAGTTACAGAAAATGAATGAAGCAAGAATATAAGTGCACGCATAGTTTATTTATGTCGAAACAATTTTATTCTGTTTACGAACCTTTTACTATAAATAAAACGTATGAAAAGTAAAGTTCGTTATATTTCAAATTATTAAATATAAATAAAATGAAAATTACTTATACTCTCACACCTTTTGTTTGCTTATATATTTACATAATGTTAAAAGTACATTCTTATGTTCTACCAAAATGTTTTTTTTAACTATTACGTAAAGCTTTTTTTTCAAACAACATGTTAAAAATAAAAAAAACTTATACTAAATGACTTTGCTTTTCGATTATGTCTTATCGTTCGTTTCATCAAAGTTGTCCATGTTTTTTTTTCCTTTCATCTTTACTTGATTTGTTGATTATATAATCATAATGCACGACACGATCAGTAAGGAGGCAAATATACCTTATACTCTCTCTCTCTCTTTCTCTCGATTAAACATAGTATATAAAAGGACCACACTTTTCTTGTTATTTTCTTATATATACATCATTTATAAAACTTTATTATCGACAAATTTCTACTAACATGGCAGCAGATTCAGATCGTACTAAAGATCAAGTTTGTTAAAAATATTTTCTTATTTATTTATTTATATATACATTTTAATTATTATTTAATTAGGAACATATTTTTAAATTAATAAAAGATATTCAATTTGCTATGTTGACAACAACAGATGAAGATGGCAGCCTTCGCTCACGTCCTATGGCATACAAACAAGGTGACAGTGATTCAAAGACTGAACTTTGGTTAGTTAAATATTTTTACTCTTATTCAAGAAATTCTTTTTCCTTATTTTAGGTTTTTTACCCGAACAGATTCATCAAAAGTTCCTGAAATCAAAAAACACTCACAAATCAATGTATCATTTAGTAATCCATCACATCAATCATATGTTAGCATAAGTGGTCATGGTGAAATTGTTAAAGACAAAACAAAAGCTAAAGAATTATGGAATCCATATTTAAAAGCTTGGTTAGTTTCCAGTTAAAATAATATTTCTCTTTATTATTTATTGTTTTTTTAATTTTAGGTTTCCACAAGAACTTGAAGATCCTAATTTAAGTTTACTTAAAGTAACCATTGAAGGAGCTGAATATTGGGATTCAGCAGCATCACTCATGGTTCGAGCTGTTGGTTATGTTAAAGCTGCATTCGGTGATGGATCAACACTTGAAGGTGAAAATAAAAAAGTTCATTATCCATAAACAATAAGATAACTAACATGACAACAACAAAAAGAAGCATTCGATGATCATTTCTTCAGTGTAGCTTTTTATTTTTTATGTTATAGATTTAGATAGTTGTTTCTATTTTTCAAGATTATGTAAATCTAATTTACATGTTTGAAATAAAAACTCCGAAAAAAGAAAAAAAAAATAGAATTTTTATAAAAAATTTGCTCAACACAATTGTCAGAATGATTAATATTTTTATTATTTATGACTGTTAATGATTATGAATCAGAACTATTAGTTATAGTTTTTGAAAATAATCATTTAATTAAGAATTACAATCACATCAACACATCCGTATGTGTTTTCTTTCAAATGAAAATGCTTCTATGATTTGAATACTTGTTTTTTTCCGATACCATTGGTTTGCAATCAGCGTGATGATGTTTATAGTTGATTGAATCATATCAAGAATGTATGATAACAAAATGTCTGGTTTCTGTTTCTTGTATACATCTATATTTATTATTTATTAAATCAATATGAAATCTATGTTTGTGTATATCGAATACTAAATATAACTATAGTATAAGTATATAATTGATCTAGTTTAATTTATATAATAATGATCACTAGAATAACTAGTTGTCGAACAATATAATTCATACATTTCACTATTATTCTGTATTTCCAAGGAGTCTTGACAACACAAGCAAAGACGCTGCATTAGATTTCTTTATACGCAAAACTAGCTGATATAGAATGAATATTTATACTATCATACAATAAGTAAACATATTTAATACTTTTATTTCGTCTTATTATTATCGTCTTTATCGTTAATCGAAATAGTAACATCTCATAAACAACGTCGATCTTTTATTAAACTGATATTAAAATGAATTTTTAGGGTGTGGGGTAAAGAAAAGATCAATTTATATTCACACTTAACGAACAAACTTTATTTTTACAAAACTAATCCACTCATAATTTAGTTATATTTCTATTTGAATAAAATGAAATCTATTGTATGTTCAAATTAGATTCGAACCATTTTTCATCGAGCTTCCCAGCAAACATATACATTGTGTACAATTCATACGATTCTTTTCACTTTATTATAATGCCAACGTATAATTCAGCATTCAATAAAAGAAATTCTATATAATCTCACAGTTTCTCAGTTAACAAAAATACTCATTAATTCCAAACCAAACGCTTGTTCCTGAAACAAAATATTAAATAAATATTTCTAACGAACAGCTGGGAAGGTCTCCACCCCTCAACCATTTATGCATCCAGAGATATTCCAACCTCAACACACAATCGCACTTCACGTCGACAGATTTTATTCCAACAAAACACATATTAAATAGTATTTATGTTACGAATATTCTTCTTTCCACCGACACGTTCTCACGGCCATTAATTAATTCAGTTAATAAACAGAATATCGATCGACGACTACTGATAATATATGTCCCTTTTCAAACAATGAGATTCAATTATATATAATTTCATAGTATACTATAACTTACCGTCAACTATTATGAATATCATCATAAAACATGCGCCACCTAAAAAGCAGCACATGTCAATAAAAAACCTATCCCAATAATATCCTTAATATACAAATTGGGCATAAAATAAAACAGTCTTATTTATATTTAGTTACGATAATAAAAAAAACAAAGAAACTCATCCACAAATTAATTAATAGTTTTCTACTAGTGATCCATATATCGTTGATATCAACATTCACAACTTTCCCACTCTATTGTTCCGTTGAATGAACTCATCGATTTTATCCCGGAGTTTCTTTGCGATTTGATTGTCCGCGAGATCTAATGTGGTAAGGTTCTAAATAGAAAAGTGCAGATAGACATATGAAATAGATGCGAAAGAAATGATACTCACTGTATTATTTCGTAATGCATTTGTCAGATGCTGTGCTCCAACATCACCGATTGAATTGTTACGGAGATCTAATGTAGTAAGTGTCTGGAAGAAAAAGTGCAGATGGATATATGAAATAGATGTCGAAAAGAATGATATTTACCTTATTCTCTCGTAACGCATTTCCTAGATGCTGTGCTCCAACAGCTCCGATTCCGTTGCTAAAGAGATATAATTTGGTAAGTGTCTACACGAAAAAGTGTAGGTGAATAGTTGAGATAGATGAGGAAGAGAATGATATTTACCTTATTATTTCGTAATGCATCTGCCAAATGCTGTACTCCAACATCTCCGATTTGACTGCACGAGAGATTTAATGTATTAAGTGTCTGTGCAAAAAAGTGCAGATGAATATATGCAGGGGCGCAGCAACTAGGGGGCGCGTGGGGCTTAACGTCTCCCCGCTTTGAGAAATTTTTTGTTTTTTTGCTCGAAAAAGTTTAAAAAATAAAGCAAAATGTTTTTGCTAAAGTTAAACAAAATTTTGTGCTGCGCTCCCCCCACCCTCCCCTGCCCCCGACACCTCGCTACGCCCCTGAATATATGAAATAGATGAGGAAGAGAATGATAGTTACCTTATTATTTCGTAGTGCATCTGCTAGATGCTGTGCTCCAGCATATTCGATTTGATTATTAGAAAGATGTAATGAAGTAAGTGTCTGCATGAAAAAGTGCAAATGGATATATGAAATAGATGAGACAGATAATGATATTTACCTTATTATTTCGTAATGTATCGGCTAGATGCTGCGCTCCAACATCTCCAATTTGATTGCTCGACAGATTTAATGTGATAATTGTCTACACGAAAAAATGTAGATAAATAGATAAGATAGATGTGGAAGAGAATGGCATTTACCTTATTATTTCTTAATGCCTCTGCTAGATGCTGCGCTCCAACATGTTTGATATGATTGCGAAAGAGATTTAATGTGGTAAGTGTCTGCACGAAGAAGTGCAGATGAATAGATAGGACAGATAATAATATTTACTTTATTATTTCGTAATGCATCTGCTAAATGCTGTGCTCCAGCATCTCC